TATCTCTAAAAGTACGTCGACCACAAAGTTGAACAAGAATGGGGAGAGTGGACATCCCTGACGAACACCACTTGAGGTAATCAATTCTGATGACAGTTCGCCATAAGCTCTCACTCTACCAGTTGTGTTCGAGTAGAGAGCCATTATAAGGTTAATGTACTTCTTTGGTACTCCTTTCAATGACAAACACTGCCATAGAACCACAATTGATTGATCACTGGGTGGTGATCAATGTCATGCTTGTCTAGTCCTTATTAGTGCAGATCGAATGCTATCGATCATGTTGCAATGTGGCCACCAGTCTAGGTGACTGGACACTGCGGGCACTATATATTGAGATTTAGATGGTGGTTGGAGGTAGTCAACAGGAAACCCTGGACCCGGGTTTCGTGCTACTTGGCACTCGTCAGCAAGGTGTACCTGTGATCTTGAGGGAACTGGTGCTCCCTGGCGGATTCGATCTCGTGTCACCCAGCTTCACAGTCAGAGACGTTACCACTGAGCTATCCGAGCCATAGAACCTCACGATCAACAGAGTCGAATGCCGCCTTAAGGTCGAGAAACACTACCATTGTGGGGCGTCTGAATGTGTGTCTGTGTTCTAGAACCTGACGTAGTGTGAATATCTGATCTATACAACCATGTCCAGGTCGAAAACCGGCCTGGTTTTTTCTAATCTGCTCTTCACGAGCTTTGATTAGGCGTCGAAGTATTATTGAGGCTAATATTTTAGACACCATATTAGTCAAACTGATTCCTCTGTGATTGTCACAGGAGGACTTTTGTCCTTTCTTATAGACTGGCACAATCAGTGATTGAGACCAGTCAGATGGGATTACGTCCAGTTCCCAAATTCTACATAAGACCTCGGTTAATCTCATTGCTAATACTGGACCACCATCCTTAAAAATCTCAGGGGTAAACCTGTCAGGGCCTGCTGCTCTCCCTCGTTTCAGATTTCCTATGGCTTTTTCAACTTCGTAAAGGGACGGAGGACCTACATTAACTTGCCATTCAGGTTGACTAGAGATCGTGGGAAACCGAAGTGTGGCTGAAGGCCAATTGAACTGATCCCTAAAGTGTTCTGTCCATCGAGAGTAAGCGAATTAATTTTATATAACTTGAAACTACTTGCACGTTAGCTACCGTAGATTGTAGTGTCGGTTGCTGTGTCAAGCCCACACAATTTATTCTAGCTTCTGGTCAGGCCAATTTATCCGTTCTTCTTGAGTCACGTTTTGAGCTTGTTAATTATTCGCTTATCAACCTTGACTGTGTTTATGTAGGCGTGTTTCTTATCTTACTAATCACATACCTGTAAATTACATTTGTTTGACTAGAAATATCGATTCACACTTGGTTAATGGAGTTGGCCTACTCGCCTCCTCCATTGCACGTCATTCAGTTTCGTTTCTCTCTCTCCTCCTCTTCGCTCCGTCTCCCTGATTGTCTGTTCAGACAAAGGACTGGGCCATCACAACAGGTAAGCATGACCAATATAACAAGTATTCGCATAAAAAGCTCGGAGTAACAGAACACTATAAGTTTCAGTAATTGCTTGATTATATCCAGTTCGATGATTAACATTTGGCTGTCTATTGATTGTGTTTCCTAAAATAGATAAGTCAGGGTGATTTATTTCTAGCTGCAGCACAATCATTTTTTTACCTTAAAAACTCGGAAGATTAGAGACTGAGACCAGTCTGTGACGATTACTTAAAACTTCAGTATATAGTTCTGGTTTCAGGCACTACAGTCTTTCACACTAATGTTTCGTATGTTTTAATAACCATCTTTGAAAATTTCGTTAGGGATTATGGTTAGCGATAAGAGATATACTACTGCAATCAGAAATACAACTTGTCCATCGGATAAGAAATCCAGAGATATAAATCTTATCACTGTTGAATCTACTTATACGAGAGACAGTAAAAGTATTCTATTATATATTACATAGTTTAGTTACTAAGGTAAATATATATGTTTACTGCACCGATACAGTGAATAAGATATCACTTGTATAAACGTAAAAATAATTATATCGGTATTTACGAAGCCATCTTAACTGTGGAATCACATTAAAACGACCAAAACACCTATCATGTCTGGAATCCATTATTATTATTTATTTCAAATCGTTAAATTGGCAAAATTGATCATATATGGACAAAACTCATAAGAGTAGGTTATTCAATAATGCATTTCTGATCATAAATATAACAGCCAGAAATAAATTTACTACGGATAAACACATCGAAACGCCATGTTCATGAAAACCTGTACAGTGAAACACAAAATTTAGCTATTGCTTTGTTAAACAATCAGCAATAAATTATACGGTACTGAGACTTATCAAAAATATAAGGAGGCAACACACTTTTAGTGAATATATATCTTAAGAATTCTTCCTTTTAGCCAGTAATTCCCACCATTTAGAGAAGTAATCATGAATAAGTGAATTGTCTTGAATTCAACTTAATGGGGTTTTTTTCATTTGAATAACAATTACAATGAATCCTATTAAAAACGATTTAGCGTTGTTATGCAGAGTGAAACTCATAATCTTAATAATATATCATATGATATCTGTTATTTAAATGAGAAATGTACAGCATTAAGAAGTTGTATAAAGATATTCTCACCTACAAAAATGCAGGTAAACAGTCAGCATCACTTGAGTATTTTATCACTAAACAAAACTTTAATAAATTTATTCACACAAATATATATATTACTCTGACGTTGCCTTTATTTATCTGGTCCAGTCTTTATTTACTTAAACACAAACATTGGTACAAGGAGACACCACATATGTGTGCATCACTCGATTTATGTCTGGGCCATGATACTGCCCGGGTATCCAGATAGAAGCAGGTGGTTTTCTTAGGGGGGAACTTCCCGAGCATTTTGCCTAAAGGTCTTATCTACAAGGCAATAGAGCAACATTAGGAGATGAAGTCCAATGGTAGCCAGTGACCAACAATAGGTTCCTATACTATTTGTTCCCTCAAAATCCTGGAGACCATATGTACCATTGGTTCGGAATCAGGGTTTTCCAACTCCTCTAGGGGGATCTTCCATACCCACTAACCCGGTTAAAGCATTGGACATTCGCTTTTCGTCCTCTCAATTTCGTAAACAATACCCCTGCCACAAAGAGACAATGAGTAAGACTTCCATGTCAGTCGCTGTATAAGCGTTGCTATGTAAGGGTATTTCGAGAGGGAGAACTGACTCTCCCCATTCTAGACCGTACCAGGGCATTTGGGGGCGGGTCTAGTCTGGTCTATTAACTAACAAATAATAAAGAAAATTTGTGATTAAAAACAGCAGCAAGAAAAAGCTTGAACATATTATAAGTTTTTTAAACTTTATCTTCATACAAAGCTAGAAAATAAAAATCACTGGTAACTGTTACAACATAATAAATATAGTAACTGTCAGAATCAACTATAACAAACAAAACGAGTGTACATCCGTTTTTTACGAATTCATTTAAAACTAACAAATAATCTAAATCTTCATGACTTATAAACTGTTTACTTTTATGAACCTTTTTAATTCTCAGTTTCACTAAAACAAATTTTATCAGACAAAGCGACATTAAACTAGTGTCTATGAATACAGATACTGTAGTGGACACTAGTGGCAAAATTTCTTGTAAGTAGTGTGTAGCGGGACGTCACATCGAAGTTGCTATAATTATCAGACGGAGTAAAAAGTTTCAGTGCATTGAAACACAATGCTGGCAGAACACTTGGAGACCAGACGAGAAGATAGTTCAGGTAACAGAACACACCGAAAGATGCAAACGAACGATTGAAGGTTATGCATAATGTATTATATAAGTACTTTGTAACTTTACACAAACATATTCCTTCTGTCTACTGTTGTGTTTTAAAGTATAATTGTTATTAGAAAAAAAATTACTTATTACTAAGAACACTGATCATGCTGCAAAAAACTACAATTCTCATTCAAATACATATGAAATATGAAGCTTTTTTTATTCGCCAAATATTAATAATCAGTGAGGGAAAGTTATTTAGAAAAATGTATACAATAACTGAAACTATAAAGAAACAATTTCGATATTAATTAATAAAATATGAAATGTGTATTTCAGTCATTATTAAATAAGCCATAAATTAAAATTAAACAATTATAAATAATAAATAGTATTGGAACAAACAATTTGTTTGAAAACAATTACCCTATTACTTTTGTCAATAAAGTCAAGTTTACAAGGATAGAGCAAATGTAAACAGAAAAGACAAAATTATGTATAAAAAAAATTCAACTGAATATGTAAATATAGCGTTAAAGGCTTTCCAGATTAAAATAAACGTAGACCTACAAAGTATTACAGTGTATATTTTGTAAGTGGAGAAGATTTGTAGCTCAGGTGGATGATTTCGGTGGAGTTTTGTTCTCTGAGCTGGATGGTTTGGTCGTGGAGCTGATGAAAGCTCCACGACCAAACCATCCAGCTCAGAGAACAAAACTCCACCGAAATATTTTGTAAGTACATATTTTCTTGTTTTTTTCTTCTCTAACATTTTAAATGGGTGATTTGAAAATTGAACAATGGACATAGATCAAAATTGTTCAATCCACATTTTATTATACATAATAAAGATAGTGAAAACAAAAATAAAGCAAAGCAGTGTGTATCATACTAACAACATCAGGAAGAAAACTTGAACGAAAAGAAAAGAAACATGCTAAAACAAACAATATTGGAAAAAAAAACTTATTATACTGATAGATCATATTAAACTGATAAGAGAAATAAAGAATTAATTGATGACAGTTTTTGACTAAACCATACACCAGGATTATTAGTCTAGGGAAATGAAGATCATTTCAAGGCAAAAACATTGTTTTGAAGGGCAGACCTATATATATATATATATATATATATATATATATATATATATATATATATATATATATATATATATATATATATATATATATATATATATATATATATATATAGAGAGAGAGAGAGAGAGAGAGGGAAGAAAAAGCATGATATGTTTGCGGTAAATTGTAGCACTGACCTAGTATATAGTTACTGAGAGATTAGCATAAATCGAATAATCAATTATATTATTTAGGATACACGATTCCTGTAAACAAATAAATAAATAAATAAAAACAAAGTATGAGGACAATATATGAATAACTCATTAGCATACAATTAATTTCCTAATTGAATTATGATGACTGAACAATACCACTTACCATACAGAATTAATATTGTGATAGCTATTAAACGTGAGATACTCAATTCATAGATTTCAACCGATTAACTTTGCATATATTGAAACTAAATTCTTGTTTTTATTCCAATTTTAACTACTTATTGTAGTTATAGTTTCACTAAAAGTTTACAATGTGTTAAGGAATTAAACACTGAAAAATGAAAAATCAGCGATGAAAGGTAAATAGATTTTTTTTCTGTGTATAATATTTGGAGAAACAAGAAATAATTGATTACATTGGAACTTATGCATTCGCTGGTGTATTTGAAAAATGAGTGACTACTAGAAATGTTCTTCACTAAGGTATTTGAATATTTACAAGTTGAATGGATATTAGAAGAATATCTTACAGTATTGTGTATTTTTAAACAAAGATGGATGGTGGCTAGCAGTGGAATCTAGAACGTGCATTTCGTCTTACCTGGGATTCGTCAGATGGATGTGCCTGCATTCCAGTTAATCGAACCGAATACCATTCGCCTTAAACATCATCGAGTCATCCACTTAACTGCTGAGTCCTGATAACCACTTGCTTGTGAGAGGGGGTGAAGTTTAGATTCATTTTGTTTGTAATACCAAATGAATTATATATTTTTTGCTGATAAGAATTCTTTACTCTAACCAAGAATAATGATTTTTGAATAAGGTGTTTACCATAATTATTAGTTATCTACAATATTTCCTGAATTCCCACATAAAATATGTATGTATTATTAAATGTCATAGACTTAATTAAGTTATCACTTGTGAAATAAAACGGAAATTTTCATATATAAATACACCAAATTACTGATCATATTGAATGGTCAAGTTATATACTTTAGAACAACTGAGGTAGCGAATATAAAGTTATGAATATTAATGTAATAGTCTGAAAATGTCACATTCGTTGCAAGACCTGAAGTTTTTTTTCTAGGCGATTTCATGTGCTCACGCGTAGTTAATTACTGATAGGAGTTCAAAACTAGTAAGATACAAACATTTTACAGTTGTGTGTCACATGTATTCTCTAATTATTTCTCAGCTGATCTTAGTACATGATAAAACTGCCTTTAAACTAGAAAAGCACTTCAACTATTAAATCTCACATAAAAATTATGAATGTAAGTATAGAAAAGAAAATTAAAGTAAAAATAGAATGAATTCTTGAGATTTGCTTTGTAATTGTGAGTGAATTTAGGAGAGAAATAGCTTCATAGTGAAAAAAATAGTGAAATTAATTCAAAATAAGACGTTAAAAGTACCTGTGATTATTTCTATCACTTGTACATGATACAGAAGGTGAAACGAGACCATTTCTTATTGAATCACTTCGATTGTGTGATGACATAGAATTTGATTGATTTTGTACGGATGAACTAAGTACACTAGATGTCTGTGATATGTTATGCAACTGACTGGTCGATAAAACACTTCTATTAGAAATTCTACTATCTCCAATACTATTTGTCTTTTCGGATAAAGTTTTCATATTTGAATTTGGATTGCCAATAAGAGATAGTCGATATATAGGACGATAAGATACTCCAAGTGAGCTAGCTTTTTGTCCAGTACGTACAACGTCAAAAAGTGTAAGCTTTTTATAATAAACAAATAAACAAGTTATTGGTTTAATTTATCAATTTTAAATAATAGAAATAAATTAGAAAAAAAAATTTGGTCGACATATTATTATGGTATATAAGTTTTCAAAATTTATAACATATAAATGTGTAGAATATTTGGTCACCATAAAATAGGAGTTGACCATACATTTTAATACATACAAAAATCTATGATTCTCGTGTAAACGGATTTATTATTTTATGGAAATGACCATGAAGATAACATGACATCTCTAAAGTGTTTTACTTGAATTTCTGCATAAAATAAATTGATAGTGGTCAATATTGGAAATGTAAACATTCAACGGATTTAATTTTGCTTCAATCTCGACGCATTATTTTTCAGAAAAGATGATACAAAAAAGACCAATACTTACAAATGAACTTGCCTAATTACATATTTCTCAAAACGCCTGGTTTTAACAGACTTGAAGTGTAAAGGAAAGAGAAGTATTATAGATTTATTTGATAATATATTTAAATATTTGGACCGTGCAAAATCTTATACTCTATTATACAGGAAAAAGCATGAACACTAGTCCCACCGTTTCTGTGAAGTCTCAAGAAAATAATTATTTTCGGAAACACACTTGTAAAAGTGTAAGACTAGAAATAATGGATAAGACCAAGTTTAAAAGAGATAATTCTACGTTTCCATACAGCCATATCTGTATTCACAAGTATCTGGTTTGGATAAATGGTTCAATGTTATACTTATGATTATGTAAATCATTCATACATGAAGTATTTTGTGGAGAGAAAAAAAGTAAGAACTCAAGCTCCAGAACGTAAATTTCAGTCGATTACATGGACTCGCAGTGTCTTAAGGATAAATCACACGCCATAAAGTAATAACCATTTACAGAATGTATACATACTTGACCAGGTGCCAACTGATAAAGTCCGAGAGCAGGTCCAGGAACATAACATGAAGTATTTACATTTATACTGCCAGGTTGAGAAAATACAACTGAACTGACTGCAACTACATCATGAGAATCCAGCAAATGTAAGGTATCCATTCGTCGAAGTTGCGGCATACTAAGCAAAACAGCTTGACCACCAACATTTGTAAAAACAAATGAATATTCACAGTTTTGATTTGTTTGAGATGTTACAGATATACCACTTGCATTCGAACGTTCAAGATCACCACAAGCAGAATCAACTATTATGTAAGTAAAGATGGAGATGAAGAACAAACTAATAAATAAATAACCGTAACTCTTATAACAACGTGCGTCATAATACAGAACAGACAAAATGTGTCTAGTAGTGAGATGAAGGACGCGCGTTTCGTCTTATTTGGAACGAGTCAGATGGATATACCTATACCGAAATCGGTGTTCAATTCAGGACTCGAGACCAGTACTGTTTGCTTTAAACGCTGACGTTTTATTCAGTTAGCTAGGGAGTTCAGATAACCACTTATTTATGGAACAGGTACGCGTTTTAATTGGACTAAAAATAGATTAGATTATCCCGTAGGTGTTATTTTACTGAAATTCGACCAGTCCTGGTTGACGTATGTGGATTGCTTTGATATAGCCATTATAACACAAGTCAGTATAGACTCACTCACTTGTGCAACGGGTATCCAAGGTATTTCAAATTGAAATAAAACGTAAGTGGCCGGAAAAAAATACAGAAATTATCCAAATAAAATATGATTTCTAATTACTAACCAGTGGATTCTTTTGATAATGATGAACTGGTTTTTCCGTGTATTCGAAATCCAACTACTGAAGCAGATTTGATACGATAACCATCAATAGCGGTAATACGAGCTTTGAATTTTAGGTGTAAATTAGGCAAATTAAATAATCGTATTTGTTCTTCACTCACAACTGATAATACAGGTAGATTATGAGATTTACCAGAATCAGATATGTAATGTTTGTAATCTATATTAAAAAGAGAATAGTATATCGAGTAATGGGAAACAAGGGAAACAAATGTATCTAATTACAATGATCGAGTGCAAACTAGACAGTTAATTTCAGAAAACTATGTTTAATGTGACTCATTTGTCGAGTATAGACAATAAAAATACTCGGCTCTGAGTGACCAGCGTTTTGTTCGAGGACTCTAAAACAAAGCAGGGTGAGACTTGAACCCGTTACCAATATGGTTTGAAAGTCGAATGATTTTCAACCATTAAACCAACGGCTGCTACACTTTGGACCTTAAATTACATCTTTCCTGCAACTTGTAGAATATGTTAAAGGAAAACCAATATGGAGAACAAAGTGTGACAATAATGATTTAATTTAGTTCAAGTGAAAACAACACTATCAGATAATTGATCTTGTACGAAAGATAGTATTATTAAGTAATACTAATCGAAACACAGATACACATATTCTTATGTAACCTGTGAAACTTATTACAAATTCGAAATGACTGGACTGTTAATTGAATTCAACCAGGTTACTTAACATATTCCAATCTATAAGGATACTCTTTATTATAAAAAGATGTTTTATTTCTGAATACTTTAAACAAACAACAATTCGATGGAACTTTATTGTAAGTTTGTTTTGTTTAGTGAATCATTTCAATTCATGCTAAAAATAAATATAATTTGTTACTTGTTTCAATTTTTACTAATTTTCTGTATTCATATATTTAAAATTTATTCTGTACCTCTCTGTGCATATTTCATGGTATTGATTAATGTAGTAAACGGCACAATTTGAACACTATATTTGTACTAATTTATTGGTGAGCGGCCTATGCTCCTTCACGAGGAGTAACAGGCGTAAGTAAGTAAGTAAGTAATTTATTGGTTTTATGTAAAAAAAATTTGTAAGAGAAAAACACTCTCAAAGTTCGATATTGATATTTTAATAACTCTACTAACAACAAACTAGACGATTAATATTGTCAAGCTAACTTACTATATATGACTGCTTTGGGGAGTATGTGTGAAGTAGAGTTACATATGTACGAAATATTTAAATGATTATCGGTTCGGCATTCAATAATAGAAATATAACTTCTTTAACTATAAAACCAATTAGAGAATTACTAAAATCTAAATGATTTTGTTATAATTTAGTGAGAATAGTATGTATGGGATGATTTCTTCTACCCTTAGAGAAAAAATTGTAAGTATTACACTTGTAATATCGTTAACAACACATACCCGATAATGAGTAAGGCATATTTGACTTAGCATCGATTAGACGAAGTGATAGAACAGGAGCACGATGTTGTAAAATAAGTTCTCGAGAATAATACAGCTGTAGTTTAGGTAGAACGCTAGAATTTAATGATGTTTTGTCAACAAAAATAGAATATAATTTAACAGTTCCAGCTTTAGTGCCAATAAAAAGTGTAGCAACTGGATGTAACATTGGACGAGAATTTGATGGACTTGATTTAAACAATGGTGGACCAAATGCAAAACAGGATACAATAGCTACGTTAGCAGTATCTTGAACACGATCGCATATTTCTCTTTCAACATTATACTGTGATATTAATAATATATTCTCATCTGGGACACGTCCACTACGTCTTTCTGCTTCATCAAGAGGAGCCACATCAGTTTGATTGGGAGCAGCACGATTAGACTTAGATAAATATAAAAGATATATGCATAATTCAGAATATGCTATGGAACCATTTGTATGCATGACCGAAAATGGAATATACAGTAATCGAAAGTAATTACATCGATTGCCTTAAGTTGAAGAATTTAGATAACAATTCATCACGACAGTGAATAGCTTTTTCTTTTCATTATTTTCCATAAAAAGACACAAGAATACAGCCTTAGTGAAAACCTCTTTAAGAAAATAAACCAAATTGGTTCAGAAGCTGAAAATACATATTTTACAACTTAACGATTTCAAATCCATGAATATTGAAGCATAACAAAGTGATATGAAAAATCAACACACTTAAGTATCGTTCGAAGATGTAATAAGCACTTTCAAAATTCACTTCATACTATTTTTCAATAAGTTATGTTTCAGTAAACGTCAATACAAGGCTGAAGTAGAGATTCAGTCGTACACTGATTATTAAATTTACTACTCAATTTTGTTACAGTCAAGTTGCAATATAGTCACTGGTCTAAATAATTTAACATTGAAATAGACTGTTTAATGTTGAGGGTCTGAAAACTATTCGACGATTAGCAATTCAACGTCATATAGACTAGTGACTAGAATGAAAATCAATCGATAGATCATGATCGATGCTAGAGATTAAATAGTATGACACTGGTTACCACTCAGTGATCAATCAACGTTAAAAAGAAAACTAGAAGTACATGTTAGCGCAGCCTTAACAACTTAGTGGTATTGACTTTGATTTTAACATACGTTTGGATCCTACAGCAAACACCAATTTTCCTAAAGCTTGCAAATATACATTGTTTATGAATGCCAACTGGTAATAAACTTGTCGACTACCTATAAACACTTGATATATCGACTTTTTATCTGGCTACACAATGTAGAAATGATGGAGTCTACTATATGAATCTGTACCTTATCACTTAAGAGAATATTTTTTGTTTGTTTAAGCTCATGTAAAACTTATTAAGAAACTCATTTCACAAAAACGACAAATGGTATTCGAGAAATAATTTGAAGTGGACTGATGACGACTGATTAGATTTTATTAGTTTATTTAGTTCAATTAACTTATTGCTTCTTTAAATAATCAAATAAATAAACCTAAGATGGTTAAAAGAACCTACTTGAGTAACAGTACGTCGAATGCCAGCACGACTAACATTAGCAGTAGAAGCTGGGACAACTGGTTGAAAATTTGATTTAGTTGATCGTACTCTTTTAAGACGTCGAAACGAATCACGAAGACTTTTTTTAAGTTCTCGAGTACGTCGCCTTGCCCAACCTTCGCCAGCAGCAGCTTCTTGAAGAGCATCAATATTATCCGGTATTGTTGACACAGCAAGTAATGATTGAGGAGGTAATGGTTTTTTTGTATTTGAATCATTATTAGATAAAGGTTTCGGTACAAAAACTACACCGAAACCATGTGGTGTACCAAGAGCAAGTAAAATTTGTAAACCGCCATCACCACCAATGTTATTTGTTTGGTTTTGACTAAATTCTTTTAGATGAGTTAATTCAAATTCACTTGAAAGAAGTGATGTAATACGTGCAGGAGGCTGTACGAAAATAACTCCTGTAGCTTGTAATTGAGCGGGGAGTGGAGTAGCTTGTTCTGGATTAACAGTGATCTTGTTACTAAAGCATTTTCGAAGCTAAAAACACAGTAAAAGAAACTACTTCGTATTAGTCGAAAAAAACATAACAAAAAAATAAAAGGTTCAAAATTCGAAATTTTTTCTAGCCTAACAAATGTTAGATATCTTTACTCCAAAAGTACTGCTAAACTTATAACTTTAAAATTATGTTTGGTTGCTTAAGCAAACAAATAGGAACGAATATTAAGGAATATGCCAACCTCAAGTATTAAATAATTAATAGGTGAGTACAAGATTGTTTAGTTAGGGATATTCTGGCATTATCTCATCGTCCGCGTTCGAACTGTATAAAAAATTAGATATATCTTGATGCTTGTAAAACGGTAAACGAAAACCACTGGTTGAATGTAAAAACCTAGGAAAGAATTGTTTTCATTGAATATTATCTAGTCGATGAGAATCACAAATTGCCCTGTAAGATACGTCCACAAAACCTGCTTCATTATATTCATGTGATACTTCAAAGCTGTTTTTAACTAAATACCTTTAGTCTCCTCACATTTTTTGCGCTTCGCAAACTTAACACTTGTAACTTAGAATAAATAACGCTGTAAAATAAGTACATGAGGTGAACTAAACAGAGGTTTCTTACAAAACGTGAACAGAAGAGAACCAATAAAACAGGAAGTTAAATAAAACTCCCATACGAGAGTGACAACCAACTATGTTGACGATTTATTTTTAATCGTTCTGCAAAAAATTTTAAAACAATGGTCATATTACTTTGATATACATACGTTTGTCCCACAAAAAGAACTTAAAGGTGTGTACTATAAAGCATACAAACTTAGTATTCCTTTCATACTTAACTACCAAATTTAAGCCAATAATAAGTTGTTAATGAATAAGACTGACAAGAAAAACATAATCCAGATAACATGACGAGTTGAAGATGTAATCAAAATAAGATAACTTAAACAACACTGAATAGATTTATCACGTTTTCAATTACATTTCATTTCTCACAACTAATTTTACATAAATTGGAATTTAAAATATTTACTGGTAATGAATAAAACATGAACTATTTACTGTAAGGGGAGCATGTCCTTTCCATTGAAATCCGGGCATGGATTTTTTAATTGTTACAATTGCAGGTTCAATACATGGAGTGAAATTAAGAAATTGATATACAATTGCCTAAAAGAATGAAATATGTGAAATGTTAGAATAAATACATACACTCAATTATTTACATTACTAATCACATTCATTTATAATGAAATGAGAAATAAAAAACATAATTACAGGAGAAAAAAATCAATTATTCACTCATGTATTCAACGGACCTTAGTAATCTCTGATTGGTTACATTTATTTGTGTATATTTTAAAATTAATTAATTTTTGATTGTTAGATTTACAATTATATGAGTTTAAACAAAGCTATTGAGTTTAAAGGTGGAAGAATAAAAAAACTGTTTCAATTTATTATTCAATATATGATAAAGTATGAAACAGTATTATTTTCTATAATTATGTATGAATAACTAAGGTTACATTATTTTTATTTTGTGTGACATAACATAATTATATGCAAATGATTTAAATAGAAAAAGGTGTTTCACAATTTGTTCCAGTTTAAAATGAAAGTACACTACATACTCATACAAATTAGTCTTATTTTTGATGATTCATTAAGTGGAGCTGAATAACCAATAATAGTGGTGATAATAATAGTAGTAATAATGGTAATAATAATATTAATTTACTCGTTTTATTCAGTATCATACTTCTCAATACAAAATATTTTTTTTAAATGAAACGGAATTTCCGTTTTATGAGCATTAACTCCTTAGCAGTGCCGAGAAGTTCCATACTAGAATGAAACGACTGTCTAGTTCTTCCAGGTTTTCAATGTTGGTCTAACATTGGTCGGTTCATGATCGCAATTAAAAATCAACAATATTTACAACCCTAAACTGATAATAAATGATAATTTAGAAAACTAATGGCCTAAAAGTTTTAGAAAGCGACTGATACAAATAATAATACATTTACTAACTGGAAAGAACGCAGCAATTTAGCTGATATTAATGGGATCATATTTAGTTTTCTTACTCATAATGCCTGATTTTAGTAAGATATCCGAAGAAATATCATTTGCTTTCTTATGAACGGCTAACTAATTATCAATATAGCAAACGATCAAAAGTTAACTGTCATTATTATTCTTCAGAGATAAATATCAATTATAGAAATTTACTCAGGTTTTATGTCCCCCGAATGCCCTTGTACGGTCTAGGGTGGGGAGAGTCAGCTCTTCCTCTCGAAATACTCTCACATGGTCACGAGTATACAGCCACTGTCAAGAAACACCTATCATTATCTTCTGAGGACAGATTGTTGTTTACGAAATCCCGGGGATGAAAAGCGAGTGTCCGGTGCTTTAGCAGGGTTGGTGGGTATCCAGGATCCACCTAGAGGAGTTGTAAAATCCTGATTTTAAACCAATGTTGTACATGGGCTCCAGGATCCTGAGGGAACAAATGGTGTATAAACCTATTGTTGGTCGCTGGTTACAACTAGACTGCATCTCCCAATGTTGCTCTACTACCTTGTGGATTAGATCTTCAGGTAAAAATACTCGGGAAGTTGCCCCCTAAGAAAACCATCTGTTTTGATTTGGGCGCCCGGGCACTATCCAAACCCTCACACAAACCGAGTGACGAAGCGTGATGCAAATATATGTGGTGCCCCTTTGCTCAAATGTTTATGTGTTTAAATACATAAATAACTCCTGTACTCATCAATAAGAAATATTTGAAACTTTACAGAAAGCTTTATTAACTGCCAGCACTAATCCGAAAGTCAGTTGCTCAACACTAAAATCTAGTGTACTTATCCAACGATCCTATCAACACTACGAAGTAAAACATCAACTTAAATACAATTATATTTCATTCAAAATAGGTAAACAGATTTTATACTACTCAAGTAGTCTATAAATGAAAACCTTTGATATTTGACAAATCAGTCAGTCATAAACAATGTACAACTTGGGAAATGTGTGCTTGATACACGTTCTCACAGCATATCAGCACGAGATTAGATTATCAACACAAATATTGGGGTAGTATAAAGATTGATAGTGTCAATAGTGATAGAAAAGATTAAGTACAGCTTAAGTACTACTTATATGGTTCAATCCAATACTGTATGACTCCAACGATTGATGTGACATTTTGGATTGTCCGACTCAATTTTATAAGTATATCCATAAGAATTAAAACTAAACTTACTTTTAAGTACGACCACTATCAATAACTAGTCCGGACAATTACAGGACCTTTAAAATGATCCTATTAAAATAATCATTAGATTATAAGTAAGACTGTACCGATGACGAATACTCCATAGTTACTTTCATGTTAATGTACAAATTATGGATATGATAAAAAAATTTATAAACATTTTACAGTCACATAAACTGATAATTAATGATCCATAAAGAGTAAGCTTCTAATGAATTCATATTATAACAAGACAGTATACCTAATTACTAACAACGTGTAGAGGAAGATACAATGGATCATAAAGATAGTACTGATAACAAATTGAGATGCATTTTATCAGAAAATGTTTATTAGTGTATATAAACAGATTTGGATAGGAAAGCTATCGTCTCATTACTGATATATATATATCATGAGTTTTCTAAGTGACTTAAGGATAAGAAAATTTGCATAATCGAATAGTTGACAAAAAAACACTATGCAAATACTGTAAATTTAAGGACTTATAGATGGAAAAAATTACAAGAATGCAAGTTTACACTAAGCTATAAATATTCTGTTATTTCATGATACTTCAGACGTAAAATAAAGAGAAAATTAATACTAACAGGCAAGGCTTACAATGTAAAACATCGTCAATATGTCACTGAAGTAATAAATATATACATTTTCATATATACAGGAAATAACAACACAAAATAATGATTTTATTAAAAAGGATTCACTTTTCTAAATTTATGATACAAGAAATGTACGAAATCGTGTATGATAATAAAATCAACATATACAAGGCTTATATGTTTTGTAGTGTTGTAGGATAAATAACAAAACGGTTGATCAATAAAATGGATAGCTAGAATTTCAGGTCAAACACTGATCACTGACAAAGGAGTGGTTATAAAAGAGAGTTTAACAAATAGTTTAAAGCACACAAATATAAAAGATGACAACTGATAAAGACAACGTTATATACTGTTTATTATGTAAACAATATAATGAATATTTGAGAAGATAAAGGAATTGTTCATGATCAAATCTTCTCATCAGTTCTCGATAAGAAGTCTTACTTTATTCATAAATAAAAAGTTTTTACAAGCTTAAAATAATAAGAAGCAATAATATATGAAAGCATGTAATGACTATGTATTGTTAGACGGCGACTAAAAAATTTATGTAAACAAAGAAATAAAAAAGGTAGTTTAGTAGCTCAAAACAATTGGAATGGTTTTTATTCCTTTGGGAAGTTTAATAGCCAAGTACAGATGGAGATTCCAGGTTTTGGGAGACTTTGGATGAGGGTTAATTTTAGTATGTAGCTATTCAAAATGAAGGTATGTAGAGCAGGGGGTTTAAATCTGCTACTTAGTTTTAAAAATGAGTAGTTTAACCAATTAGCCACAGCTCAATCGAAATTTAGAAACTAGGAAGAAAATTTGACTATGTGAAGTAGTAAAATGGATTAGTAATTTCACTGGTAAAATACTAATAAGGTAATATTTTTCAAACTCCTTCAGATAAGAATATTTAATTGCTGAATAGATATAATTAAAGACAGGTTGAATAAGATTAACTACAGTATTTAATTACATCAGTGAGATGAAGATTTATTTACCTATTTTCATGAGCATTTCATCATTAATTACAGCCTCCAATAATATTGTGAAGGCTTGGCCAAAAAAGCCTATATTACAGCAACGAGAATTTATGCCCTATCATGACAGCGATCCACAAAGAAACTTACCATATAGAAAAAAGAAATAGAGGTCGAAGCCGAAGAACGAAAGTATCGGAATTCGGAGTTGCTGTAATCCAAGTTACTAATGTAGTTCACTTAATGAATCAAAAGATACTCACGGATCTCCATTAGTCATTTTTAATTATGATTTATTCTATTTCACATGGAAAAATACAAAACTGACGAAGTACTCTATCGAAACAAGATTACTTCAGTCACTACATTTACACACAGTTTGAAACCATATTACATTTTTGTATAAAATATTGCTATATGACAAAGTTATCTAAATCTCAATAACAACAAACAATTGTCATGTCAAACTGATACTTAATATAACAATGAATTTTTTCACACAGATCATTAAATTCATTAAACACAGAACTAATCAGTTTAAATTACGAATCCTATAAAATCTTGTCTAATATAGAAGATTGTTTAAGATTTAAATGAAAATCTTATCACCGATTTCTGTATGGAGAAATTTAGTATTGAATATTACTAGTAGTAAACAATATTCACGATGGATACAGGGACAAATAATATAACTAAAGAGGAACCTACACTATGGATACATTCAAATCAACAACATTCACGTTGCATTCAAGTGTTGCACGGGCTGAGGTATGAGGTTTTATCATTGGCAAAGTCAGTCAACAAAACTTATCACAGATAATTAATTAGTATCTTTCAAACTGTATAACAATTTTACCTATAAATTTGTACAATTGATTGAACAGAAACCATTTCACTTGTCACATGGTAAAAAAAAGTAATCAGACATTCAAAAACTATAAAATACCGGTATTTGAAAAAGAAACCCAATTGCAAGACTGAACTCGCAGTTTTCTAATATTACAAACTCTTATCAAAATATTTTCACACATTTATACAGGTAAATCCATTTAAACTTTATAATCTTGTAAAGTGAAAAAGCAACAGTCATTTTATTTTCATTAACTGGTATTATTTTGTATTTAAAGTTTTAGATGGGATAAGTGGACAAATCTTATGGTATAAGAATAGTGATAAATGATGAAATATATATCTTACCTGACCTGCAGCTCCACCCACAACCAGTGTATTATCAACAAGATAAATGAATTGTATAGCTACTCTGCTATCGTCCATGAAAGGGTCAAATACACCTGCCTGACGAAAGGGAGGCCATGCATCGCCATCATCATCAACACCATTAGGATGATCCTAAAGTAAATAGACAAATCGGAAAGATTACTTTAAATGATGAAGCGGTGCGCAAAATCATGTGATATTCGACGACAACTGATGATAACAGACTTGTCCTAAATGTCGTACAAATAAGCGGTTGTGTTTTTTTCAAAGGTAGTCAAACCAACTGGAGTATTTTAGGAGGATAAAGCCTGATCATCTAAAAATCCATCATCCTAATAAGACATTTGAAGTGAACTATCATTCATGTAAGAGAGACGGAAAAGGTACTTTAATATTACTGAAATAGCTGTCTTTTGATACTTAGTGTAGGTATAGTGACCAATTAAAAATAAAGCTTAAAGTATTTGAAGCAAGCTTCGTAGGAAGTCTGGAAATCGAATAAGCAACACAGATTGAAATACACTAATTTTGAGATGAATAAAGACGGAAAATTCGATAGAATTTTTTATTTGTACAAATCGTTTACTACGTTTAGGTTTGTGTATTCGCCCTTGAGCTACATTATTTATGTTAAGGCTGGTGACACTACTCGGTTTCTTGAACCAAGGCAAGTGCGGTGAAGTTCAGGCCTGAAATCTATTGGTTCACAAATAATCGCTTCTAACCACTACACCATTACCGAATCATTGTACGTTATTTTGCACAAAAAATAAAAATAAACCTTTCTCAACTAAAATATATCGACTTCGGATTATCATACGTAGATAATGTTCCTCAACGAAAGCTAGAAAGATGATACGAGTTCGATACTTTTAATAGTGTCTCAACACTTTTACCTATAAAACCGGACAAACATTTTGTCATCATCTAATGCAGATTCATTATTGATTGATTAGTGGTGAGCGTGGGACTCATAATTACTGGAAATCAAGATGTGTCTTAAAAACCATGAATTTATTATTGTGAGACTCTTTAAAAAGAAACCACTGTATATATGATTCACGTAAACCAGTTTTTTCTATTTATTGTTTGTAGTTTCAGTAAGTCTCAACCGTAGCTGCTACTTTGACGCGGTGGTCGGGCATGCCTGTCGTGATTACCCAACCGAGCTATATTGGCTGGAACATATGTTCCTGTAGGTTCTACCATGCCAGGCAGGTCGATTGGAGAACGGTAAGACTAAAAGCAGCAAATCATGATCTGAGGGTGAAGTCGTATTGCTGACTGTAGAGAGGTGTGACAGCAGTAAGGTGTTTTCCTCGGACAACCAGCATCTGCAACCCTGCTGACTTCTCACAAGGAAGGAAGGGGTTAGAAAAGGTTGATCCTAAAAACGTCACGCCTAACCTTAACTCACAGATTTTCGTCTTCGGCGGTACGGCCCTTTGAAGAACGGAGCCAACACGTCAAAAAACCCACAAAAAGACCGTGCGCGACCGACCTCAAGTAGTTGTCCCTTGGGCTCTGCGGTCACGCTCCCAGGTCGTTGAGGCCAACATTAATTTAACTTCCTTCTCAGGTTCCTCAAGAAATACCCTTCAACGGTGTGGGCAGCCGGGAAGTGACATCAGCTCTCATACCCATAACAGCACACGAGACCAAGTCATTCACAATCAAATCCTTCCTACACCTCCTAACAACTCTCTTATCTCCTCGACTAACCCTTCTCACGTCCCTTTATCACCTCGCGCCGCTAATACGAACGATTTGAGTACGCGGAACGTTACTCCTCGTCTCCTGAAACCACACTCTAAACTACATGAAGAAGCTTTTAACGTCCGAACATTATGCCATAGAGAACAACAGGCTTCCTTAGCTAGGACTTTAAAATCTCGTGCCATTAACGTGTACTGCGTCTCCGAAACGCGCATACAAGATCCAAGTAGCGTCATACATTTGACCTCTCCATATCAAAATAAAGAACATCTCGATTCACGCTTCGTCTATCTAGAAGCCCTGGTGCTGCTTCCCGTGGCCTCGCTGTAGGTGTAGGTATAGCATTGAGTCCTATGGCAGAACTAGCTCTCTTAGACTGGATTCCAGTAGACTCGGAAAGATAGAAACACTCATCGTTGCCCCTTCGTCGTTTCTGCCTACTATCCCATTGGCTACAGCTCAGATGATGTAAAAGATGAGTTTCGTAGAAAGCTTTACGACCTTCTCCAAAATGTTAGGCGCTCTGACATAGTAATAGCGGATGGTGACTTTAATGTTCAAGTAGGTAAACTAAGAGAGAAGGAAAGATACCTTGGTGGGGATTTAATGGTGTTGTGGCTCAAAGGACAGATACTGGCGACCGTCTGTTGCAGCTATGCTCAGATAACCGCCTCTTTCTTGCAAATACTAACTTTAAGCATAAGCAAAAGATCTTTTGACATGACGATCCCCGAACATGTCCCAACATTGGACCCAAATAGATCAGATTGCTATCAGCCACCGATGGAGGGACTCGATAGAAGACTGTCACTCATTCTGGGGCACATGCTTAGATTCAGATCACGCTCTAGTGCGAGCACGTATTTGTCTATATCTTGCTGAACGTAGGAAAGACTATGCAAGGAAACCCCTTAGGATCCTACTCAATGATAACCAAGCTAAGAATATATTTCAGGAACAACTAGAAAAACAGTTAGTCAGCCATGTGAGTGATGCCCATCCCGAGGCAGCTGTGGAAACAACATTGCTGTCTGCAAGTAAGGTGAACCATAAGGTTAGGGAGAAAAACTGGATCTCAGCAGCATCTACCGCACTGATAGATGCTCGAAAACTCATCCAATCTTCAAACCCTAATCTTTCCGATTACTGCTTATACTCTTACTACCCCTACCACTACGAGATTTGAATCGACAACTGCATCTTTGTGATAATATGTTATGGCAACTCGAACTGACGTACGTACGTACAAAGTCCTACGTTGTTACTGACTGACTGACTGAGTTTCAGTAAGTGAATCGAGTAGAAAAAATAACTGGTTCATACACTTTACTAGGTATTATGCGCCTATGGGATACAAGGCCTACAACTATAGACAAATTTACATATACGAGCCCAAAACAAAAGGTTTGTAAATAAAAATGAGGTGTGAAAAGTTGGAACGATCAAAATTTTAATCACTTGGACTTTACAGATATAAATTGATATCTGATGTTTCCATACACTCGGTGCTAAATTTCTATAGAATTATAAATTCAAATCTTGGCGAATGATCACATAGATAACAAATGACTATCTAACAACTTACCAATTGGCTGACATCTTCAAATAATATAGCTGTATATAAGGTATAAATGCGTCGAAGGCAGCCTCCTGCACTGAGTCGCCAAAATGCAACAGAACCGTCCTCGTGACCAGTAAGAAGTAAGTCATCTGTGTACAGAATATTTCCACCCAAAGAGCTTGTAGATAACCGAGATCCATTAATTAATGCATGACCACCTTGTATTGGCCAAGGGAGAGAGGACCAACCCCCACCTGATGGATTATCTGCAATTGCTCCTCCACGACCAAAACGCCCTTCAGGACCATAGTAAGCACCGGCAGCTTCAAGATTTGACAGCAAGGTTGGGCTAACCTATTTTGTACGATAAAATGATTACAATGTAAAGGAGTATTGACTTTAAATTTAAGTAGCATATTTACTGGGAAAGAAAATTTATCACAATATGTTTTGTGAATTTATATAGACATACTTTATGTAGATAAAAAAACTGAAGGTCTCACATTGAAATATTTGTCTATTTATATGTACACTAAAACTCCGCCTGGAGTCCCTCCGGGGGCTACTGCCGATCCCAAGCCCGGATAAAGGAGGAGGGTTGGGCATGGGGTTAGCGTCCCCATCCCGTAGAAAACTAACTCGCTAAAGAAACGCTAACCAGAAAAAATTATTCAAACCTTTCAAACTCTGCCCCGGGAGTCAGGTCTTCATTTAGAAGAACTATGACGCCTCATGATGAAAGCCGAATTCCTCCGGAAGTTACGAGGCTGATGCCCCTTCTGACAACCAGAGCGACCATTTATTTAGGTACATGGAATGTTCGTACAATGTGGGACACCGGAAGAGCCTTCCAAATTGCTGCAGAAATGAGAAGATACAACCTAGAGGTACTTGGGATCAGTGAAACACATTGGACGCAAGTTGAACAACAACGACTAGCTTCAGGGGAGCTTCTGTTATAATCCGGCCATGAAGAAGAAAATGCACCACATACACAAGGAGTTGCATTGATGCTGTCCAAACAAGCACAAAATACACTTATAGGATGGGAATCTCATGGACCAAGGATCATCAAAGCCTCCTTCAAAACAAAGAAAGAGGGCATTTCAATGAACATCATTCAATGCTATGCGCCTACCAACGACTACAATGAAGACGCTAAAGATCAATTCTACAATAGGCTGCAGTCAATCATCGAGAAGTGCCCAACAAAGGACCTGACCATTCTGATGGGAGATTTCAACGCCAAGGTTGGAACGGACAACACTGGATATGAAGACATCATGGGGCGACACGGACTTGGAGAAAGAAACGAAAATGGTGAGAGATTTGCAAATCTATGTGCCTTCAATAAGCTGGTCATAGGCGGCACCATATTCCCACATAAACGCATACATAAACTTCACCGGACCACACCACGCAAAACCAAATCGACCATATTTGCATCAACAAAACGTTCAGGAGGACTATAGAGGACGTGAGAACCAAGAGAGGAGCTGATATAGCATCAGATCATCACTTGCTGGTCGCCAAGATGAAATTGAAACTCAAGAAGCACTTCACAACGGGGCGGACAATATCACAAAAGTTCAATACGGCCTTTCTTCAGAATACTAACAAACTCAACAAATTCAAGATAGTCCTCAGCAACAAGTTCCAGGCCTTTCATGATCTACTCAATGGAGAAGGAACTATTGTGGAGAACAACTGGAAGAGGATCAAAGAGGCAATCACTTCAACATGTCATGAGGTCCTGGGTCACAAGAAGCACCATCACAAGGAATGGATCACTGTTGATACACTGGATAAGATTCAAGAAAGAAGGAACAAGAAGGCAGCGATCAATACCAGTCGAACAAGGGCAGAAAAAGCCAAGGCACAAGCTGAATACACGGAAATAAACAAACAAGTGAAGAGGAGCATCAGAACCGACAAACGTAAATATGTGGAAGATTTAGCAACGACGGCTGAAAAGGCTGTAAGAGAAGGAAACATGAAACAATTGTATGACACGACAAAGAAACTCTCTGGAAATCGCCGCAAATCAGAACGACCAGTGAAAAGCAAGGAAGGCAAGGTAATCACCCACATTGAAGAGCAACAAAACAGGTGGGTAGAACACTTCGAAGAACTCTTGAATCGACCAGCGCCACTGAACCCACCCAACATCGAAGCAGCACCCACGGACCTCCCAATCAATGTTGGCCCACCAACAATTGAAGAAATCAGCATGGCCATCAGACAAATCAAGAGTGGCAAAGCAGCAGGACCGGACAACATCCCAGCAGAGGCACTAAAAGCAGACGAAGCGGCAACTGCAAGGATACTCCACATTCTCGTCAATAAGATTTGGGATGAGGAACAAGTACCAACAGACTGGAAAGAAGGACTTCTAATCAAAATACCGAAGAAAGGCAATCTCAGCAAGTGTGATAACTACAGGGGCATCACTCTTCTCTCAATACCGGGAAAAGTCTTCAACAGGGTATTGTTAAACAGGATGAAGGACTGCGTAGACGCTGAACTTCGTGACCAACAGGCAGGATTCTGTAAGGATAGATCGTGTACAGACCGAATTGCAACTCTACGGATCATTGTGGAACAATCAATTGAATGGAATTCATCACTCTACATCAACTTCATTGACTACGAAAAGGCATTTGACAGCGTGGACAGAACAACACTATGGAAACTTCTTCGACACTACGGCGTGCCTCAGAAGATAGTCAATATCATACAGAACTCATATGATGGATTACATTGCGAAATTGTGCATGGAGGACAGTTGACAAAGTCGTTCGAAGTGAAGACCGGTGTCAGGCAAGGTTGCTTACTCTCACCCTTTCTCTTTCTCCTGGTGATCGACTGGATCATGAAGACGTCAACGTCTGAAGGGAAGCGCGGGATACAATGGACATCTAAGATGCAGTTGGATGATCTAGACTTCGCAGATGATCTGGCCCTTCTATCCCAAACGAAACAACAGATGCAGGAGAAGACAAACAGCGTGAGCAGCATATTTACAACTGAAGAACATCTGGAGCTCAAAGCAACTGTCAACCAACACCAAGGTCAGGATTTTCAATACAAATGTCAAGACAGTTCTACTGTATGGGGCAGAAACCTGGAGAACTACAAAAGCCATCATCCAGAAAATACAGGTGTTTATTAACAATTGTCTACGCAAAATACTTCGGATCCGTTGGCCGGACACAATTAGCAACAACGTACTGTGGGAGAGAACAAACCACATCCCAGTGGAGGAAGAAATCAGGAAGAAGCGCTGGAAGGAGATAGGACACATATTGAGGAAAGCACCCAACTGCGTCACAAGACAAGCCCTCACATGGAATCCTGAAGGTCAAAGGAAAAGAGGAAGACCAAAGAACACATTACGCCGAGAACTGGAGATGGACATGAGAAAAATGAACAAGAATTGGATGGAACTAGAAAAGAAGGCCCAGGACAGAGTGGGTTGGAGAATGCTGGTCAGCGGCCTATGCTCCATTGGGAGTAACAGGCGGAAGTAAGTAATATGTACACTAAAGTAGCAGTTTACTGACAGCTGTAATCAATGTTTAGTAAAGCAGAAAAGTCTGTAAGTAAAGATTTTTATGCCAGGATATTGTACACAGATAGTAACATTAAAAACTACTTTAGAGAAAATACCTCTAGTTTACGCTGATATCAACGATAAACATCCATTAACATAGACAGATACACAAATAGGTTTGTGTCGGTTTTGCACCACTTTTCTGACAACAGCAGCTTTTTGAAATGGTATTTACCCTACATTAATGTTGGTATTAATCCATCTAACAGTGTCTTACCACAGTGGAAATGATCGTTTTGATTAATTTCTAGGTAGTTAAGTAGTGTAAATGACCAGTTAGCATCATCTTTAGTTTCAGTCAGTCTCGAGGAACATAGAGACTGGCGGATATGTGCTTCATATAAAGTTTTCATAACAACAACAAGATGAAATTATCAAAACAAAATGGCAAGGCAGTATAAATAGTATTAGTATCCGTAGTCATAGAAAACATTAGGGATGCAATATGTGATTCTAAAAAGAATGAATTTGCGGAATAAATAATATAAATAATTTAAAATAGTGCTCAGTCCCGAGGAATAAAATTAAATCGACTCTAGTTTAGATCTATTATTAAAGCCCATCCCTCCATTAATGAACAATTTTTTTACACCTTTCGTCATTGGACTTTTCAAAACTGTCACCAAATAATATTAATAATTTTGGGAATCCTATATTTACATTATTAACTGCAGGCCATAAAATGCTATCTTTCTACGATATTATAAATCCTTGTAAGTGGCATGCCTTTTTTTCTAGTTTACACAGCTACTCTTTTCTAGTGTGACGAATTGAACGGATACATAATTATACCGAGTAAAATATCATTGATATCTACTTGTGGACAGACGGATAAGTAAAATGTAGAATGTCGTACAAATCGTATGTTGTCAGAGGCAAAACAGACAGGAGGTACAGTTCACTCTATTTTATGACTGGGAAACGTGGTCTGTGAAGGTAGAAGAGATGGGTAGGTTAAGGGTTTTTGATAATAGGCGTTTTCGGAGCGTTGCTCGCGTTTTGTGTAATGACTGAATGAGGGATGTTGGGGTTAGGCAAATGGAACGTGTACGAGAGAGGAAATTGGTGTGCTTAACCACAACCTACCTTGAAAAACGGCCGTTGCTAATTCAGAAGTTTAGAAGAAAGCTAGGGGCCGTCAACTCAAAACGTTGGATCAGTACATGAAGTCACTAACTGTTGGTCTAAGCCATTTTAGTAGATTCAGACTACTTGGTTGAGGTCTTCGTGATAACCGTAATCAATGGTTATAAACATTTGGTGACATGGTTGATAAGGGTTCACGCAAGTGGATTCACTGTTCCTCAGTTTTGGATTTCAGTATCCCCTCATACGCACCTTTTCACTGTTCTTTCAAATGATATCCTCAAGGTTTTTTCTTTTCTTGTCACTACTAATACATTATTTCGATCTCTTGTTATTTTTATTTTTTCGTGCTAATCAAGCATGGGAACTTTGGCCAACGCATAGCAGTGCCCAGCTCTACGTTGACGATGTTTATATGTCTGTACAAATCTCTGTATCAATCATACATATCACAGTTCCCATCAGTCAGTCAGCTACAACGTAGGACCAGGCACATATATGCATCGGTCCAAGTTGCCATACCTCATTAGCACAACACGATTAATATCGGATTCACAAAAGTAGTTAATTCAGAGGTGGTAATATATAAAAGAAAGATTGCATATAAGGACAAAGTACAAGAAGAAAGAATTAGTTCGTAGAAAGAAAGATATGAAGTGGTTTTAATCTCTTAGTTTAAAGGAAGACAAATAGTGTGTACACCGACGCCACTGAGATCGATTCTGAGACATGTCTCCAACCATTGGTTACGATAGTCACACGGACCCCAACCAAGTAGTCTACATCTACTAACATGGCTCAGACTAGAGGTCAGTGTCTTCAAGCACTGATGCCACGTTTTGGTTTGGCCGCCCCTAACTTTCTTACAACCATCTCTAACACACGTTAGCATTGCACGACGTGGTAATCGGTGTTCAGGCATACGTAACACGTGGCCCAACCATCTCAGTCGATGAAAATTCACAACCTCATAAACTGATTTACCATCATTACCTAATACCATGCGTCTAACCTCACTATTACTTAACCGGTGATCCCAACAGACGCCAGCAATGTTTCCAAGGCATCTGTGGTCAAATACTAGTAGCTTACGAGTGTCTTCAACTCTTAAAGGCCATGTTTCGCTGCCGTAAAGTAAGACAGAACGGACTGCCGCGCAGTATACTCGTCCTTTTATTGATAGACGGATATCTCACCTTCGCCATAGGTGACGTAAGTTGGCAAAAGCCAAACGAGAACCGTGCAGAAAATGTCGTCAGACACCAACCCAGACTTCCAAGGTAAGTGAAGTTGTCAACGCGTTCGACTACTTCACTCCCTATCCTTAGTTCAGGTGTTGACACAGACCAGTCCTGAAGCAACAACTTGCATTTAGAGGGAGAGAAGCGCATTCCAAACATTCTGGCATTGTTGCTCAGTACTATCAAAAGAGTCTGCATTTCATCAGCGTCTTCACCAAACAGGACTATGTCATCTGCGTATTCTAAGTCGATAAGTGGACATCCTGGATGGAGATCAATACCCGAGAATTCAGTAGACGAGAATATTATCTCCATCAATAGGTCTATGATGAAGTTAAACAAAAATGGAGAAAGTGGACAGCCTTGACGGACACCACTTGAGGTTGTAAAAGCAGATGACAGTTCGCCATAAGCTCTGACTCGACTGGTAGTGTTCGAGTAAAGAGCCTTCATAAGGTTTATGTACTTCTGAAGTACGCCTTTCAGTGACAGACACTGCCACAGAATCTCGCGGTCTACCGAGTCAAATGCTGCTTTTAAGTCAAGAAAGACCATCATTGTTGGACGCCAGTAAGTATGCCTCTGTTCTAGAACCTGACGAATGGTGAATATGTGGCCGATGCAGCCACGACCAGGTCTGAAGCCAGCTTGATTCTCTCGTGTTTGCAGTTCACGAGTCTTAGTTAAGCGCCTGATAATTATCGAGGCCAGTATTTTAGATACTATATTAGTTAAACTAATCCCTCTATGGTTGTCACAGGATGATGAACTTCAGCTAGCGTCGAGGGACCTACTTCAATGTTCTATTCACACTGTATGGGGATGGTGGGTAGTTGTAGAGTAGCTGAACTGTTCTCTGAAATGTTCCGCCCATCGTTCTAAACGTCTGGACTAAGAGCAGATGTGGGTGTCGTCTTTTCCAAAATCGTCTCACTTACACTTGACTTATTAATGCCAGTTTATTTTATTAGTCTGTAGAGCTGTCTTGTGTTACCTACAGCCGCCGGCTTTTCCACTCCTTTTGCTTTCGTTGCTCACCACTGCTCACGGTCGTTTCTTAGACTTTTGCTTAACCTAGATCTGATTTGTTGTCGCTCTTCATCGTGTTCAGAGCCTGATGGGATGAGTTTACGAGAATCCATCAGTGCAATAGACCTTGAGGAAATCCATTGGTTCTTTGTAACCCTGTGGTTTAAATCACTAGTAGATGTCACTGCTGTTTCCAGGGCTGTGGATGACCACACTGGGATCCTGTATGTGTGTTTCGGAGACACAGCATACATCAACGGTACGAGATTCTAGAGTTTTAGCCAAGGAAGCCTGCTGACCGATTTGACATAGGGTGAGTACATTGAAGGCTCCAATGTGTAGTTTGGAGCGAGGTTTCAGTAGACCTGGGACAGTGTTTTGCGCACTAGAATCGTTGGCTACGGTAACATTTGAGGAGGAAGCCGAAGAAGGAAGTTTAGAGTTTGAAGTTGATGTAGGAGGAATAATAGAAAGTGAAGAGGGAGGTTGATTATGAATACAGTGGTCTTGAGTGCTGTTAGAGGTATGAGGGCGGTTATCACTTCCCGGTTGCCCACACCGTGGAAGGGTTGTGTTTGGAGGTACCTGAAAAGGAAATCGGACTAGAAGTGGTTCTAGTGACCTGGGAGCGTGACCGCAGTGCCCAAGGGACAACTGCTTGAGGTCGATCACACACTACCTTTTTATGGGTAATTTTTGTGTTAGCTCTCATCAGTATAGTATATAAAACCAACGAGTTTTTAAACAGAATAAGCATTTCAGTGAAGGTTTGTAAGTAGTATTTATAAAACTAATATAATTTGAGACATTTTATCGCCATAAAAATTTATGATTACAATAAACGTATAAGAAAAAAAGAAAACCACAGAATTACAATGACCATAACTAATGCGCAAACCATGAGAAAGCTGATACAAACGGTCAAATGTAACAAATGAAACATGAAATAGTGAAGAAAAAATTTAATTTATTTCAAAGGGAGAATTATTTCCCTATTATCAGTTAAATAAGCTAACAAACTATATGAGTCACGACTATACATCGAAAAAGCAAACGAGTTCAAATTACATTGCGTATACATTTTCAAAGGTTGTTTGAACCATTTCAACCAAATATATTGTTATCAAACAGATGAGTGAAATTCTATATAACTTACCTGTGTAATTAAATTGTATGTAGTAAGGGATGTCGTGTGCAAGCAAGTTAAATAGGGAGGACGCATAAAAGGCCAGCCAGAAGTTATAAGATCAATCACAACCATTTCTTCTTCACATAAAAGTATTAGTATTTGAACAGGTCCGTCAACAGAACCAACAGGAACTAAATCAACAAGACTTGATGGTAAGTCCAAACATACATGTTCAGGTGCATCAGAATCAAAAACGTGTATAGGAGGAGCTGATAATGAACTTTCTTCTGGTATTTCATCATCATCTTCAGCTTCAGCTGCCACAGCAAGTCGGGCAGCAACAACACTGGCATTAGCAGCTTGATCAATATTGGATCCACGCAATATGCTTACAGTATGACGTTCACCATAAGTGGCACGTGGCATTCCACCAACAAATACAGTAATACCCCCCCTGTTGAGAATAAACAAAATAATGGATAATACGAATAAATAACATGTGTTCTCTTGGAATATTACGACAAATAAGCCTAATCAAATCATTATGCGTATAAATAAAGATATGACAAAAATAAGTATATTATCCATGAAAAACTTAAATTACGTCATAATTTTGAAACAACTTATCATAGCTTTTCTTTCAGAAATTAAACCAACTTCTGTTCTCAATGATTATTCCATTATCCTAACTAACACTACAGTGAATGTTGAACGATATAGTAAATTACACATCAATTTAAATTACGTCTATAAGGAAAGATAATGAGCCTGAAATAGACACGGGGAATAGAGTTATTTTAGGAGTAAAGCTTAATGAACGGTGACATTTTTTATACTAACTGCTTACAGCATTCTATATCACATGGAATTTTTTTAAGGAATAGAGCCTAGCTTGTAAAAATCAAAGGATAACTTACAGAGCAGATGGAAGCCAGAAGACTTTGCTGATCAGTTTGCACGGGAAAGGTCCTAACAAAAAAAAGTAAATTATTTAAATGGTACAAATAAGAAGTCATAATTCGACATACCAAAGCCCAAAAAATACACTTTCCAAGCTTTAGAGTTAGATCAAGAAGTCATACTCCAGACACTATATTCAAATCTGTTAATTGGTCGCAAGATGTTATGTACAACAGTCAATATTATTTGAATGTTTAATTCAAATTAAACAGAATTTAAAACATTATACTATGACTGATAGATGAATGCCTAAATTATAGAAGTTGAGGCTTTATTAAGCTTCCATCTGGAGACAGTAGTAACAGAAAAACCAAGGAAATCGATGAAAACTATGCATTTAACCACAGAGAACTAATTATTAAAGCCTGTTTGAAATCAAAACGAAGAACACATAATTTCAAAATGATTGGATTGTAGAAAAAAAGTTCAGAAAACACTGATCTATGCACAGACAGATGATGGAGAATGAACATCACCCATAAATCATATAAAACTAAGAATAAAAATAGATAAACTTTTCAATCTACTGATAAAATGGATGACCAATGTATCTCATTTATTTGGATCCAGAGTAAATATAAATGTATATTAAATGTACAAATTGAGGGATAACGTTTTGTTCTACATGACGGGTGCTTTGTTAAAAAAATCTTGATAGTATTAAATCGATTTATGACACTTCATTAAAAAATAAACAATGATTGTACAGCGAGAAGTCCTGTTATTTATGCGTACTTCGTAAAATTAACATTTTACGATTGTATCTACCAGGACTTTCAAATGCTCGAATAAAGAGGCTGTAGAAAGTTAGGTTTTAATATAAACTAGCTAATACCCAGACCACTGTAAATTACTCGGTTACCATCATAAAGTTCTATAAATATCTTTTGTATTTGTCATGTTAATGCTAACTTAAACCAACTTTGACCAAATAAGCTTCTTGACATATAATATATAGAAACAAACTCCTTTAACTGTTGATATACTTAGCAATAGATGACACTGCATCACCTGGATAATATATGTAGCAACCAACTACTATTGTGCAACACAAGAAACGGTATTATAACTGTATGACATATGTCCCCCCCCTGAATGACATGGCTCAAAATCGTTTGCAATGGTGCGAGCAGGTGAATCCACTCTTTGTGTTCTCCCAAATTTTGATCTCCTTATTCCTCCTTGTCTCTTTTTTTTCTCTTCCCAAATTTATTTCACTGTATTATACTCTTTAAGTAACATCTCCAAACACTAATCCTCCCGATTACTGCTTATACTCTTATTACCTCTACCACTACGGGATTTGAATCGACAACTGCATCTCTGTGCTAATGTGGTGTGGCAACTCGCACTGATGTACGTACGTACGAAGTTCTACGTTGTTACTGACTGACTGACTGAGGTACCGTCAGTTATCCAAAAAACCTCACAAACGTCTGTTTACAATTGGGGTAAGTTTCATACACATAGTCCCCCTTTATTATTTCGAACAAAACAAGAATGAAAAGGTAAGTAGAATAACATAATTTCATCTTATTTAATCAAGTATCCACCTGGGGAAGCTGGGAAACCCTGATTCCAAACTAGTGGTGCACATAGGCTCCAGTATCCTGAAGGAGCAAATGGAATATGAACCAATTGTTGGTCACCTGCTACCATGGGACTGCATTTCCTGACGTTGCTCCACTACCTTTTGGATCAGATCTTTAGGTCGAAGGCTCCTGGTGTGGCCCCCTAAGAAAACCACCTGCTTCATTTTGGGCGTCCCGGCAGCATCCCAGCCCTCACACAAATCGAATGGTTTATGTGGCGCATGTCTGTTTAGTGCCTCCTTGTACCGATGTTTATGTGTTTAAATAAATAAAACCTTTGATCTCCCTTGAATCTATGGCAAATTAAACGAGAAATCATTAGAATTTAGCCAACTTACCATAAGGCATGCTTGGAGCTTCTTCCATTTGAAGCAAGGGTGGTTGAATGGGAGATATTGTTGTTGTACCGAAGCCGATTTCCTTCAAACTCCAAACTCCCAGAGATCCGTCCGAATGCGCAGTCAAGAGACGCATCCCTAATTGGGGTTGATGAGATGTTGGGTTTGACCTATTTGGTTGGCCACTACCGCCGCACCAAGCGGCAGCTTCCAAGCCATGTTGCCACGGTAATAGTGCCATAATACGATCTGAACGGAGGTCAAATAATAAACTTAGACCAGAATTGTAGCCAATTAATAGCTGTCCAGGAAACCCTGGCCTTTCTAATAAAACCACCACTGCATCTGCCCGCAGACGCTGACGACGATCAGGTGAAATGCTGGAAAGTGGACATATGGGAAACCAAACTGATTACATGAAATGTCGTCATTAATTATCATTAAAAACGCCGATAACTGCTAAAGGAACCACAACAAGCAAATGTATTATGTTCAAGTCAAGATTCATACAGTAAATGATACTCAGTAACATAAGGAACTTCAGAACAACAAAAGACAGTATTCATATGCACATTTTGAAATGACTTTGAAAGTTTAACATCAAATGTCAAGTTCATCAAACGTAGAGCCAACAACAGTAGAACATAATTAATGACAAATATCAATACACCTAAAACGATACATACTACTTACATACAATGCACCTGAAAAGGTGAAACAATTGGTTTTTCATAGATTACGACTGCTGTGTTACGGATTAGCTCAACATATGTAGGCTAATCTTTATACATGATTTGCAAACAGCCCCACTTGATTGACGAATTGGATTTATCTATTTATTGGTAAAAACATCAGGTCTTTTTGAAAAAGGAAATGATTTAAAAGCCTACCTTATTTTAACATTCCAGGGGAATAGTAATTCTGCTCCGAAAAGTTATACGAAGTTAGAAACCAATAAATAGTTTGGAAAGTTGGTAGAATTATGTTATTTTTTAAGAGCGTAAACACAGTAACTTAACGTGCTTCGTCTTGTTCTAAGGCTTTGTATTTCTGCGAGTCCCATTAAAAAACTAAATGAACTTATTGACATGTGTAAGAGGCCATAAGCAAATGTCCATTGGTCTTTAAGATTGCACAAAACACTGACTCACTTCTTCAGTGTTTTCAAAAGAAGCACCGGATCCCATAGATTTTTGAAACGTGAATCTCGTTTGCGCATATGAAGCTGCCTTCGTTCTCGTCTTCCTTACATTTAATACGTCCTGACAAAATTGTCACTCCGACTACTTACATCGTTTCGTACTGCAGAACTAACTGTAATGTAACGCTTTAATTATGACGCGAAGGTTCGAACAAATCAGATCGAATAGCAGATACCAGAAACCTAGTATTATGAGCTACGAGTTTATCTTTTGTTTTTGAGATAAATTAGCAATCCAAACATGACCATTTTCAACTCAGATGAATAAGTGTGATTCACTTAGTAGATATTTAAACTGTCTAAAATCTTCAGTCTAAGTCTGAGAAACGAACTATATGAAAAAAGATAAACAGGCCAGAACGACTAAGGCTAAAAACCACTCCATAAATAATAGTTTCCTGATGTGGGTTACCGAACAAAGTAAAGATCGAAAACAGGTCAAATCTTACCCATCAAGTATTCGAGAAGGATTAATTGCATCATCAGCTGAAGGTAAGCACCAGAATTTCGTGAAGTCGTCAGTGGCTGTATTTGTATTTAAACGAACAGAGGCAACCCAACCATTATCAGTTCCAATCAGGATGCTACGACCGTCGGAGGCGTAGCACAAAGCAGTGACGTGACTAGTTTCTTCGTTATTGGTGGAAATACTTGGAACTCCACTTGACAAAGACTTTAGTTGACTTATAATTCTTTTGAGACATGATCTTTGGACCAGTTGACAAGATGTTTGACTGACTGAAGTCAACTCCCATAAATACATATCATCTGAATCAGTCAATGTAACCAGTTTTCTCTAAAACATTTATATAATATAAACTACTTACACTGCCAGTCAAGAAAACCACTTGAATATATTGAGCGTTCGTTTCATGTACAGCAGAAAACGATATTCCTGGTTTCCCGTATCTTACAAAGCGTTAAGGAATTGTATTTAAACGAAGACTAAAGGACCTAAGAACTCGACTTTTCAAATGAAAATTACAACCTAATGACATCACAAATAAAACTTGTCTATATGTTACCTACTTTCTCAATCTAAAGAAATGCGATTTCAACATTTTAGAACATGTATTTTCAACACCCATGATGAACCTTAATACCACACCATAAGTATTTCGCAGGTACTAATAAAATAAGCCTTTGAATGTCGTTTCGACGAAAACCAGCCGAAAATGGTAGGTTCATCAGTTACAAGAGCAACTTTTAGAGCAGTCTAGATAAGTTATAGCAATACAGAAAAGTGAAATGTATGATACACGAACTACCATAAAGTGAAATTGAGTTCTTCGACAAAACACAGAATATATAAGGCTACTCATAGATGCAAACCTACTGATTAAGAAGGCCCAATCGTATTCGTAAATCTCCAAAATTTCAGGACTTAAAACAAGTCAACACAGAGAATTTGGTGGATTAAAAACACGGCCTAGATGTCTGAAAACAAGCTGGAAACTACCCGTATATTTGATACATCAGCTTAGTGAATTACAACAGCTAAGAGACTTAGTACGATAAATAAAAAACATAAAAATACACGGTCTTTGATATGAACACGCAACGCGGTTGAGACTGAAAAGACAATAGACTGATCAGCGTATCTAAAAGGATACATATAAATGTTGCCATCACGCGTAAGGACAGCTAACATATCTATAACAGGGTCATACGCAACTGACGTAGGTTTAGAAGGAAATCCATAATCAGAACACTAAGAATATCAACAATAAAGAGCTTTCCTTACGACAGAAACTCTATATCTCGACCCCTGTACATCGAGATGCTCCTCTTTTTTACGAAAAGCAGGGAAATGTCCTGGAATCCTACGGAAGGACTGGAAAATCTTTTGCGCCATAGAAATCTACACTCAACGTATCACGCGCGGTACAGCGACATATAAATTTAGCGCCTGAAGCCCCCAATCCACTAATGTATTGTAAAACTATTACTCACCATTCCGTAAGCTTAAAAAACCTTGTCTTGTCCTAAAATTATTTTTAAATTTTCAAGAAGCTCTGCAGTGGTAAGATGTTTGCAGTTTAAACTCAGAACTTTGCATACTCCGATGAAATCCTACCTAGAGTCTCTAAGTAATACTCAGATCTTCCTTCTTTTCACCCTTCTACCTTCTTCAAACTTTCTTTGGTGTGATTCGATTACCTTGCAAACAAGGGTGTAGGTATGCAGTATATAACAGTGGTGAACTGGTGGAAGATCTCAATTACTGAATTCCTGGTTTATCGCAAACACGGATATAATAAAAATAGTAATCAAATAATAATTTCGGAACAATCTTCTCAACAACCTCACTTTGTCCGAATCAAAACATTGTTTTCTTCCTAACAGGCCTTGTGGTACAAAAATGTTGACAGCTTGAGGTACATGGACTTTTTCAGTAGGTCACGACGGTCAACTGAAATCAGGCCTCTTAGACTTCTACAATGTGTCCGGTTGGCTTAGCTTCCGAATTTTCTGACAAAAACTTTGAAGATAACGAAAGAAAAATTTATTATGTTAAGGCTGGGATCACTTGGGAGTTAAGGGGTCCTGCTGGTACTACTACATTTCAAAATGACTCAGTAAGGATACACAATTAAACCATCTTAAGGCTCCTCCGTCTCAACATTATTAAAAGCAGAATGCGAAAAATTAGCCAATTTAATATGTCTACCTAGAACATACTAGGTTATTCATTATCGCATTGTCTAGAAGGACCCGAATGTCAGCTTATATAATGCTTCAGTTGTCTGTCTTTCTTAAGATTTTATAGTAAGTAAATCCAGGTAATTTGGTCTCAGAAATATTCAAAGTCGTTTACAAGGTTTATTCAAGACATCACACTGAGAAAGTGTTTGTACCATGTTTCCTTACTCTGAACGGGATATATATATAATGAAATGAGATTAGAGAACAGAAGCTGGAATGGTCATCCAATTAAAAAAGAAATCTGCTCTGCTTAACTTATAGCTTGAAATTCGGGTCATGGATGGATTAAGGGTGCGATGATCTTAGTGTATTGCATAGTTTACATTCCTCCTCACCCTTATGTTATCACATTTGCAACTCAGTGAAATAACGAACTAGAGCAGCATCCATTCTTCACAGAATACGAAACAGATGACGCATTTAATAATGGTACTTCTGGATACTTCAAAAACACAATTTGAGATTTACTTTCGTTCTATAGGTACTGGGGAACATTTTTCAAAGTCTTATTTCTTGATAGCATTGATTATAAGCCAACACTTTGATCCTCCAGATTCAGAAGTTATGCCTCAATAATTATACCCTTATATAACTAAGAATAACATAATTCAATAAAGACTGTGAACTTCATCGACAAGCAGCTCGTTACATCCGTCCTACACCATATGAAGTTTCTGAGAAATTTTTAGGCTCGGTGTAGCATATAACATTCATTCTACACTGTCATTTGAACTACAAGAAGAGAGTGGCTAAATTAAACCTTCTAAAGTATCTCAGAAACGAGTGGTTATTGAATAGCAAACACTGGAATTATCAGTGGTGTTTTAAAGCGTTGTTATGCGTTTCGTAACACACAATGATCACAGCCGCACCTGGCCTATTGAAGGATTTTACTTAACTTTCCTGACTTCGACCGAGTGACAGAAAGCTGTTTTTCTAAATTCAGGACGTATTGAGACCTTCAGGCCGTTAATAATTAGGACCATCGACAAGTTGCTGCTGAGGCTGTGTTCGACGCATATGTAGATATACTTAGCTGCACTGGTAGGTATTAAACATGTGTTTAGACTAACGTAGTAAAGTATCAATGTTACCTCAAAGTGCAAAAATATCATCGTACTCTGCAACTTTTCTCTATACTTTAGTACTATCAGTGTGAGGTGACATTCGAGATCTGGAGATGCGCGAAAGTACGTTAATATTAAGTGCAAACAGCATCAGGTCTAGTGCAAAGTCTTGTCGTGCGGCGCGAAGTACTTTTTTCCAAAAGAAACTATATCTGCCTCCAGCTTCTTCCAAGTATCGAAAAGAAACACCTGGATTAACATGAAGAGGTATCTGCAACTCACAAGCTCTTCACTTTTAGTAAATATTACTGTTTCGGACTGCATTGACGGTATTTTCGAAGTCAAATCACATCACCTCATCAATACTTACTCATTGTGCTCAAACTTCAGCTTGGGTGGAAATGCTTTATTGTAAGCAGCAAATTTTCCCACAGGCAGTGCTATAGATATCCTGAAGCATGATTGGTTTCGTTAAGGGAAAGGACGTTTTCCTGAATGATTATTTTTCAACCTTCTAGGATTGTGCTTTTCAAGTTAATTAAGTTTTAACTTGAATGATGATTTCGGGTCATTTCTTTGACTATATGCAAGGATGAGAAACCTAACTTTCGTTGGCGAAATACGCTGGTTTAAGAATATTCTGAGAATTGCAGTGAGGTAAGTGAAGTTAAATGTTGTAAACCGTTCCCAATCCAGCCATGATGAATCGACCACTGTTAGTTTTCTCGCACCAGGAAGGACAACTCCTTTGGGCGTCTGTGTTGATTTTTATATTGAGCGTCGAATTCCGTGAAATCGCTTCTCAGACTGATGCTATGCCACAAAGAAGCTCGGGTGTTGAGGAGTTTTTAAGTTAATTTACTGGTCATATATCATCATCCAGCACGTTATCACCTGAATCATCACCATCATATATTTGCAATAAGAGAATTGTGCTGGATGCCTGGTTGAAACTTGAATTTGCGATCTACTACCTGACACTAGATGTAGAGTTCTTTTACAATTACTCTGTTGAGACTGTTGGTAATATTATTCTGTCTTTTTATTTAAAACTTAATTCGTAGCTTATCAAGATTGATTTTCCCTCTTCCATCTAAGGCAACCAACCAGAGAAGTATGCTGGTGGCATGTTATGGGCCAGTTCCGTATTCTACAAACCCCATCATTGCTACCGCTTCGTTCTACGCTCTGTATTTTGGTCATCTTTTTTTTACAGTTAATAACATGTATTATGCTCTACTTTGGTATTAGTACTACCATAATAATAGACTTAATCGTAAGATTATGGATTTGTCATGATTTGACCACCTAATCTATAAGATTTTATGTGGAAGTCACTTCACCGTCTGTACCGATTTGTACGATCGCGATCATCAGCAATATGACGTCTAGCACTTCTGAAGAATACATTTGAGCTGAGCGAATAGTAATATGTTTGATACAATAAGTGGGAGGTTATGTGACCGCAAATGAATGACCGAGCCAGTCCATGTTGCCGCGTTCATTGCTGCTGACCTTCTCTACATTACATGTTGAATGTAAATCTTTTCAGCAATAATATGTTCAGCTTCCAGAATCGTGCGTTTAGGAACCAGTACCATTACACTACGTTCCCACCGGAATCAATGTGACGATGGCTCGATACGAAGTCGAGCTGAACTGTCGCTTGTCGGGTGTTGCCAAATCAATTATGAGAATCCATAGGTAATGATATGGTGAAAGATAGATCAAAAAGGTGGCAGCAACTGATCGAGAAATACATGCAACAATTCTAAAATGTTTAGTTTAATTCTCAGCAGGCTCAAAACGAAAATCTACGTGAATATTATTTAAAAGGCAAAAATGTGAGATCATGATGAAGAATGATTAATTTTTTTAAGATATTTGAACAAGCCACATTAAGATGCACAGAAACAACCGATGATTAAAAAGCTAAACTTGTGGGCGGTATGCTTAGAAATAGAAAATAAGTGAATATTGTATCAACGTTGATAATGGTATTATTTTTGATGTAAATTAGAAAGCCGGTTAACGTTTATGCTGGAATGAGTGGATTTCCAACTGCATCTGCACTAGTTGGCTAACTGAAGGAACAAAAATGCAACCGCAGAGAGGAAGAATTCGTACCAGTGTCTCAGTCTGACTTCTTTGTTATGTTTTATTTAGTTGTGAGATTTTCCTGACCTTTATTACATAACTGTGATAGGATTTGACAAAACTACCAATACATACGAATTATTATCAAAAATGATTTCCGAACGTCAAAACGGTAACAATCATGTGAATTTCCTACGGATAGCTATCAGTAATTTGTTGAATGTGTGTGGGTCCGTGAGAGACATGATCTAGACTCAATGATTTGACGTACAATGAATAATTATTTATATTATTGTTTGCCGGCTGATAGTGCACACGAGTTAGCAAGCATGGAATTTGGCATAATGTACGAACCAACTTAGTTGGAATAGAGTGATCATAAATTGTTGAAATCGACTGAGCTTATGTGCTACAGATATAGATGATATGGTGTTGTACAATGCTTTTGGCTAAATAAATACTTACAGGATGATAAACAGTTAGTGCTGCTCATGTGGTTATGATGGAGAGCATAGGTTGTAATCAAAAGTAATACAACTACTAACTAATGTCTATGGAAATGACATGAATAGTTGTTAGTGTCGCGGTAAATTCCATGTGAACTTTGATGCGAAATTTACCAATTTTACCAATCGGACACTCAGTTCAACTGACGAGAGTTACTCTTCAGACTTACTTTTTCTTCACTAGTTTGGGGAAAGTCAAGGACTGATAATATGGGCTGAGAATCAATGTAAGTTTTGGTGTTTGATGAGCTAAATAGTAGATAACGATGTTGCCGGCTTTAGAGGTCTGTGTTTGGACGAATTAAGCGATTGTTTCGTTCCCGCGTCTGTCCAGTAAAATTGTGCATCAAAACTACTAACGGTCTGGCTCATCAACTTATTTTACAGTAGGTAAAGCTTGTGTTAGTATTGATAAATTATCCGTGACATGAGAATAATGAAGAGCAATTGGATAGAACTAGGAAGGAAGCCCAAGACAGAGTGGGTAGGAGAATGATGGTCGGTGACCTATGTTTCATTGGGAGTTACAGGTGTAAGTAAGTAAATCAACTGAGGAACGCTTTATGCGAGCGACACGAACCCCCGATGATATTTACCGCATCACACAATCTCATTTTCTACCAATCACTTTGCCATGGGGGGGGGTAGCAATAGGCGAGCTTTCAAGTCAGTTTGAGAACTCAAATTTACGCCTCATGACGAACGCTTTTATTCGCTGAATATTTGTTCTCCTAAATGCAGGTGACTCAGATTCGATATTTTAATGACATTTAGAATTCTTTAGCGATCAAGGCGGTCCTAGGACCTTCCGAGAAATTCATCTACCATAAACGTGAAGTGTCCACAAGAACTCAGAACGGCATATTACACCAATTCACCGATATGTTCTGTTAACTCTAGAAGTTTCACATACCTAGAATCGTATGCAAAAGCATCGATTATAAATTGCTAGTGGATGCTGTAGATCGTTAAGTTAAGACTTCCTCTCGTCCATCCTCAAATATTTAAACCATTCGCAACAAATTAATTCACGGATACAGTCTTTAACAACTCTACAGTCCAGAACAACTAATGTGAGGATTCCAAAGCCATCTAAAACAGAGGTCGAAGAAAAAGGTATACTTAGATATATTCGAATAATCATCGAATAACGAAGTGCATTTTCTCTAATTTGGCGGTTGCGTAGCAAGGATATGGTCCATTATGCTATGCTAAGGGAAGAAGCTCCAATCTTGACAACACCGCTTAGCGTGTTCTCACATTCGCCAAGCAGAGGCCCATTACCAAAAAATTGGAGGTTGGCTCACAACTTTCGGAGGAGGTTGTCGCAGCGAACCTTCAAGCTGCAGGTCGGTAGCACTTCTCTCAGTATCTACAAAAATTATGGAGTCCCTGATTCAGCGGTCTACGTGAACACCCACTATCCACAAACTTCTTTTCACCTCAACAACACTATTTGAGAAAAGGTCATTTTTGTGAACGACCATCTTTGATCGCATGGAGAAAGTTGAAATCATATGCCTTGACTTTTCAAAAGCCTTTGATATGGTCAGTTATATGTGTTTTGTCAATAGGCTTAAACGATTATGTATCAAATCATTAATTGATTGACTTACTTCATATGTAAATGATCGATTTTCTAAGGTTAGAGTCAACTTAACTTTCTCTCGGGCTAGGGAAATTCTTAATGGGATCCTCCAGGGTTCAGTACTAGAACCTCTTCTTTTCTTAATTCATACAATCAATCTTCAACATCAGGTTTCGTCAGATTCATTAACTTCCACTGATGATGTGAGACTTAAGAGAGAAGTTTACAACCAAGAAAATAAATTAGCACTTCAGGAGGATGTAACTCGACTTCACTGTCGGGCGGACAACAACGGACGTACCTTTAACACTTCAAAATTAAAAGTAGTTCATTTAAGACATGTTGCAGAATACGAATAAAACTTATGTAACTCCCATCTGAAAATTTCCGAAATTGAAAAAAAAATTTAAAACTATTGGGACCCTATGATTTGAAATTTTACGGTAAATTTGACAAATATTCCTTCCGAGAATACTTTGTACTGGCAGAGCTGAAGCGCATTTTTGACCAGTTTAACGGAAAGGCTTTCCACATGATTTTCAACAGTTTCATTCGTCCCCATTTGGAATACGGAAACATAGTATTTCCTCCCTCATTCCAAAAGGATAAGGACTTTGTGGATCGTATCCGACGGCGGGACACGTAATCAGTTCGGGGAATCAAATTCAAACCTTATTGATAGCGCCTTCATTCACTAAATCTCTATACATTAGAGTATAGGCGTTCTGGAGGTGACCTCCTAATGACTTACAGCATCCCTAACACTTTTGGACATCCCCTTAAACACCTACTTCTGTTTAGCTCCAACACAAACTTAAGGGGTAACATCTAGAAACTAGAGATATAAAACAGCAGAAAGGAATGTAGACACAACTTCTACTCCTTAAGTGTAGTCAAGTGCTGGAATTCGCTGTCGGCTGAGCTAGTTCAAGCGACTTCCCATTGGTGCTTTAAGAGAAAACCTGACATATTCTTAAGAACTAAAGATAATATTTTACTATGATTTACCGATTTCCCTTTCCTCTATTATCGTTAATATACCTTGGTTCCTGCCTGAATATATTGGTGGTCCACTGCTACTAGAGTAGTCAAATGCTGGAATTCGCTGCTAGCTGAGCTAGTCCAAGAGACTTCCAAGGAGTATTTGAATAGTATATTATTAAAGGCTGGGAAAAGTCTCTCACTATAGTTTATTAATATTTCCCTTTTTACCGTTAAATATATCTAGGCTTCTACCAAGAGGCCTAGGTGATACACTGCCAGTAGATACGGAAGCCGGTTAAGCGGAAGCTTCCTCTATTCCATTTAGAAGCATTTAAAACCATTTGAAACCATTTTAACCATAAAAAACTCGATGTCTTTGTTCTGCTAACTGTGCTTCATATAAGCGAATCCATGGGACCCGAGGAAATATATCTTAGGTGGCTAAAGGAACAAGACTACGCCATAGTTAGTCCTGCATTCAAAACAGGCACGAGTTATAAACCTGGGAACCGCTGACCCGTTAACCTAACCAGCGTGGTTGTTAAAATTTTAGAAAAGGTTATTCGGGAGGATCTGTTTACGTAACTCGATGAAAACCTGATTCTTTCGGAAAAACACCATGACTTTGCAACAGGTTATTCCTGTATCACTAACTCATTAGTGGCTCTTGAAAGCTGGTGCGCTCTTAAGGATCAAACGTTACCTGTAGACGTAGCCCACACTGAATTCAGCAAAGCTTTCGACAAAGTTCCCCACAACCGCCTGTTGTATAAGTTAAGAAATGTCGGGGTTGGAGGCAATTTATTGATGTGGATAAAAGACTTCTAGTTGACCGCTAACAAAGAGTATGGGTGAATTCAAAGTTATCTATCTGGGAAATTGTGCTAAGTGGTGTGTCCCAGGGTACGGTTTTGGGGCCTGTGCAATTCCTCATGTATGTAAATGATCTTCCTCCTCTCCTGTCATCATCGGTCTTGCTATATGCTGACGATGTCAAGATATGGAGAACGATACAATGTAAGGGTGATAACTTGGAACTGCAAAATGACCTGGAAAATTATCTGAATAGTCTCAGACCTGGCAGTTGTCGATAAGTACTTCCAAGTGTATTGTAACTCATATCGATCATCAAGATACAGATACATACGCGATGAACAACCCTGAACTACCTGTTGTCCAGACATACAATGACTTAGGAGTCATCATTGGCCAAGAATTAAAGACTACTGCATACTGCCGTGCAATAGCCGTCAAAGGTTTTAGAACCCTATGGTCAATACGCAGGGCCTTTAATCATGTCGATTCTAAAAGTTTATTGACTTGGTGTTCGTGCATCCTAAACTTGAGTACTGCATACAAGCAGTTAGCCTCTTCTTAGAAAAAACAGTGAGCTTTTGGAAAAGGTTCAGAGAACAACAACTGAGCAGATTCCCGTAATGGCGAAGCTCCCGTATGATGCTGGACTGGCTAAACAAAACCTATTCCCATTGTCATAATGAAGAAACAGAGGTGACTTGATCACAGTTTTTAAACTTCTTAGCAATGAGTTTGCACCTGATATACCCGCATTTCTATTGTCTTTGTAAACAGAGAATTTACGAGGACACTCTGAAATGGTTCGCGGTCTCAGAACAAACTAATTTTCATCTGGCCATCGAATTCTCCATCGAATCATCAACGAGTGGAATTCACTACTTCAGCACATGATTTGCAGCTCCATCTGTCGACTCTTCCGAAATATAGTTGGATCACCTGAAAGTGCATACTTGACAGGACTACGATAGGTCACCTAGCCTCTTGCCGTTTCAAAACTGACACTGATTCGGTCGTTCCGGGTTTTTTCAGATTGTGCGCTACATTTTCTCCTTCAGATTGTCCGTTTGAATTACGTTGAGTTTGAACTTAGTTGGCTGACTGGATTGTGCTGAAAACCATAAACATCTCTCTCAACATTGAGAAACAAATGCAAAGGAAATAATCGGTTCATATTAGCCTCACATAGAGTGTATATTGTAATACACTCTTGTAACTCGTTCCTGTTTGTCTGTCAAGCCTACATGCTTCAACCAAAAGCATTTGGTTTTGTGTAATTCACATCAATATTGTATAAAAATCCACGGTTGTCGTCCTGCTCAACTTTTCGCTACAGAAGGTTTCATTATTGTTTCCGTTGTTTACCAATAACTGTTAACCCACTCATGGTCGATCGTAACCGTTTCGAGATTTTGGAAGAAAACATCGAAAGTATTATTGATCATTGTAGGGAGGCTGGAATTGTTGTTTGTGACTATCAACCAAGTGTGTCGTTTCAGAAAAAGATCAATGATCTAGTGTATAAATTACAGGTACTGTTGATTTTAATATTCTTGACGGTAAATCTTAATGTTTACTCAGTCAAATGCCATATTTTTTTACTTAGTTAAGCAGTCAACCGCCTGACTCGTTAGGAATAAGTAATGTGTCCTTAACTGTGTTTTGCGATATTACTCATTCACCATGTAGTTTGCTAAATTATGCAAGTTTCCTTATTAAGTTGGTATATCATGCACCACTTAGTTCACATTTTGAGTTTCGTCTGCGGTTATTCCCTATGTAGGCAGTTTTGAATACTTTGTTAATGATAAGTATAACCTGTGTTTAGATCGAAAAACAGTGTAATTGGGATTTTCATTGATCATATGTAAATTCCGTGGACTTTTAGCTAGAGTCCTTAATCACTCAGTGTAAACTATGTATTCAAGAAATATCTTTATTATCATTCCATTTATTTGGTTCACCATTTTTCTCACAACCACAGAATCATATGTGTGGTTAAATCTTATTTTAGAGTTCGTTTAGCATTATTCTCTCCATTAACATCCACTTTCCTCTTAAAAATATGTGAGCCATTTAAGTGTTTAATCGCAGACACTGTTATCTATTATATATAGCTCAGTCTACGAAATTTCCACTATTTCGCCTTGAAATTTGACCAGTCACTTAGGAAGGCACACAATTCTTTAACTAGCTAATATTTCTGTCCATCGAACTTCCAAAACTGGGACACGACTTTTAGTGATATCAGGGGTTAGCCCATCAGCGCTTGCTGTTCTCATTCACTTTAGTTATGGCTTCTACCTCTATACGAGTCGGAGTATTTATTTTGACGTCCCATTCAGGTTGTTTGGTGAAAATTGATCATTGAGTGGTAGCTAGAGAGCAGTTAAACTGTCCGAAGTGTTCTGTTCATTGTTCCGGCCTCTTGTGTTAAAAGTGGATCATTTTCCCATCTTTTTCAAAACTAGTCTCACTAACTCCAAAATATTTATTACCTGTTTCTTTGATAATTTCCAAAATGTGCCTACTATTGCCCATCGCCATTACCTATTCCATCACTTTTGGTTTAGTTGCTCACCACTCCTCACGACCATGTCATGAAATTTTTGTCAGTCTACATCTAAGACTTATTTGCTCTTCATCGCGTTTTAAGCCATCTACCATTTCAGCGGATGCTACCGAAACCCACTGGTTTCCTAACCTTGAGGTTTATGTTACTGGTATACATCACTGCTGCTTCCATAGCTGTTTGAATATCGTGCCGAGCTACATCTGGGAGTATACCACTTACATGGTTGACTCACTGCTTCTCTAGTTGTTCTTGAAATATATTGCTAACTTTTTCATCATTAATCTAAACTCCAAAGGGTCTTCTTACTGTGGCTTTTGTGCGTCCAGCAAAACGCAGACAAACAGGTGCTTGCATTAGAGCATTGAAATTTAAAATTTAACCTAACTCATCTTTCAGATATGTGGATATGAACCACACTAAATATGAGGGCTAATGATACTACTTGATTATTCAAACCGAAGTAGAGCAGGGTTAGACATTCGAATGCCCAAACCACTAATCTACCTCAATAGAGCTTGATAAGAGTCTAACGGTGTGCTCCAGAATAAGCTGCAGTCTTCTATCAAGCCTCCGACGATAGCTGACGACAGTGTAGTCTATTGGCATTCATCGTTAGATCGATTGTGGGCGTCGTCATGTCAATACCTTTTTTATACCTGATGGTCGCTAGAAACGGTTATCCAAGAATGGTTGCAGCAACCAGTCTTTACTATCTATTCTCTGAGCCGCGACACCATAGGATTCACCTTAGTACCTTTTAGTTTGGTTTAAACTACCTATTTGAGCATTAAATGCACCTGCCATTATTATCACATTTGAACATTTAGCTTTTTGAAGATTTATATGAAATTCATCTTTTATTTCATCAAAACCCCAATCAACGAGTGTGTAGGGATACGTAAGTGATTGTCTATCGGAATGCAGTCCAGGAGAGTTTGTTTTGCCTTTGAATTTAATGCCATCCATCGTAATTAAAATAGCTCATTGGGAAGTATGACCAAATCGTTTTCATGGCTAATCCGTTGCTTAGATATCCATGCCTCCTTAAAATATTTTATTAGGCCATTTATTCTTGACATCAATAAAAAATTGAACGAGATAAAGCAATGGGACTGGTTGACACTTAACAGTTTTGTATACATATTTTGCGACCGCATACAAAACGTGTTAAAGTTTTCTTCGTAATAAGGTCACGGACATTACTATCCGAATTGTAATTTAGTTTCTAGTGGTGGTACAATCTATGACTTTAAAGACCATTCTCAAAAGAGTTAATGTTATGTCAAACTATGGATAACAACACTTGTGTCATGATGAAGTGTAGTGTTCAAGTATTAATGAGTAAATTTCCTCATACCGTTTATGTCATACACCTGGTATTCTGTACACGAATTTTAGAGCTAGGAATAAAACAGAGTATTATCATAACTTAATTAGTAAACGTTTGGTTTTATTAACAAGATTTTTCGTATTGGATACAGCCAACTTCAAACTGATACTTGCTTACAGCTCTAGAATGACGTTTCGTTTTTTCCTTTTGCAATTTAAAAAAAATGTATAGTATTTCGGGGGATTTATATTTGCATGAATCAATACCATAGTCAAAGCCATTCATCTTCAATTAATCCTCTCTAAAACTGATACAAGTACAATAACCAGTCATTGGATAAAATCTCTTGTCGAATTGTATTATCTGTGATGTTAACCGAATTTTGTTTTTCAAATTTTCAACTTCAGTTATTTCTCTTATGATGGCATCATAGTGCTCATTTGTCGTTGTTCAGAGATAGATATATTAATTATAAGACTCTCTAACTGCAGTTTGTGATATTTGAGTGTTTTGTACTAAGTTATCCCATTAAAATATTCAAAAATATTGATCTTATTACACCACATTAGAAAAACATTTGTTTCGTAATTAACACTGCGTAATGATTTTGACTAGACAACTACTTAAAACTAAGGAGCACTGGACGTGTTTTTAGTCCTAGTATAAGACTCTGAAATTCATATCCACGACCTCCTCAAAAATAGAGCTATTTAAACTATCAAAGTGAAATGTTTCGCATCATAACGGTTATCAGTTTCTTGTATTTGTCCTTGCAAAATTCCGAAGTGAACTGAATGGAAGTTAAATGAGACTGCTAAAAATTAACTGTCATTTTTTAGAATTTATTGTAAATTTATGTTTGTGTGATTTTCACACTCTGCTTACTTTTTAAAGGATGTGGATCGTATGCAAGTTGAAATGCAAGATGTACATGTTCCTATTGAATTATTTTCCAAAATCGATGCTGGTCAAAACCCTCAGTTGTACACTCGTGAGTGTATGGAACAAGCACTAGCCAAGAATGAGGCAGTCCGTGGAAAATTAGACAGTCTTCGTCGTTTCCGAATGTTACTTATGTCCGAATTGTCTCGTCAATTTCCAAATGAAATGGCTAAATATCGAGCTGTACGTGGTGATCCTGAAGCTCCGACACTTGGTCCTGCAATGTCCAGTAACTCTCAATCAAATGGATCTGGTACTGAGACTGGTCCAGAATCCGTTTCACTTAGATAGATACTTTCAGTATGTTTTGTTCTCAACAAACATATGCTTTCTGTAAATTGTTTTCATGACTATCGTGATAAAGTGTTTTCTTGTATATATTCTCTAAAAAGTTGTTTGGTTGTCAATATGACTAGTAATGAGTTTGTTGATCGAATCATTTTTTTCTAGTCTAAAATATTACAGAATACCACATTTGTATAGGAAAAAAATATTTTGAGGCTTGCTATTGTTTAGAGGTGAAAGGCAAGATTTCAAGTAGGAATTACCAAGAAACACTGCTAATAGACTGATATCCATATTTGTAACAAATATTTTGTTATTTTTGCTTCATTTGATAAAGCAACCAAACTACTTAACAACCTTTTTTTATGTACTATTTGCTATAACTTGTGAACCTGTGTTCCCTGTTTATTGGATAACGCAACGATACCGCCAGTCAGAGAGCAGCGAATTATCGACCGAACCAGTGACGCATAAAACACGTGCGAGCAGCCTAGAGTTCTGATTGGCCCTGCTTCCTGTCTAGCCCAGCCAGTTAAGTCCAGAACACCAATCTCAGCCTCTGCAATATGAATCGTTTATTTCAAACATATGGGGCTTATATACCAATCAAACAGTCCATAACGTACCACAAAATAGAAACTAACATTTGTACAATATTTGGCCAAAAGTGGCTGTGAATGGGGGAGGTAGTGATTAACAGATAGGGAATAAGTCAAGAATGGTAAATCGTATAATAATAGTTCATAGGTCGAAATAAAACTTATAATAAAAGGGACATGAATATGAACAGTTTAGTTACATGACAATTACACGATAAAAATATACTCATAGTATCGGTCCGTAAATGGATCCCAAAAATTACCATCCATTATTCTTATCGGGATATAACACTATTACATCTTCACTCTGCTTCAATGGTGTCTCTTCATAAAATACTTTTTTTATAAAGCCTTTTGTACATATACAGACAGAGGTTATTAATTAACCTGAAGTTATTTCCACCTTCCATGATGGTCATCAAGATAAAGCTATGCACAAAGTTCAAAATGTTGACATTTTTAACATTGGAGAATATTAGATGTTAGCTAGAAACTCATAACATATATGTTCGTTTGTTCCAGTCAGTAACTGAACAAACTTAATTATCACCTAACTTCTATGTCTTTTTTGTACTTATCGTAGATATCAGTTTGTTTAGACTTAACAACATTAAGACATGTTATATTTATTTAAACACATAAATATTGGTACAAGGAGAAACCGAATTTAATGCGCCACACTTCATCATTCGACTTTTGTGAGAGCTTAAGTTCTGCCCGGGCGCCCAGACCGAAGCAAGTGTTTTTCTTAGGGGGCCACTCTCCGAGCCTTTAACCTAAAGGCCTAATCTGCAAGGTAGTGGAGCGATGTTAGGAGATCCAGTCACATGGTAGCCGGTGACCAACAATAGGTTCATAGGCCGTCTTTTGCTTCAGGGTCCTGGAGTCCATGTGGACTTTTGGTTCGGAGTTAAGGTTCTACAACTCCCCTAGATGGACCCTCTATATCCACCAACCCTGTTGAAGCGCCGAACATTCGCTTTTCGCTCTTTGGATTTCACAAACAGCACATCAGCCGGGAGAAAGCAATGAGTAAGACTTCCCTGACAGTGACTATACGCGCGGGGCTATGTGAGAGCGTTTTGAGGAGAGTGGGTTCTCCCCATGCTCGACCGTACCAAGGATTTGGGAGCGAGCTAAAACATAAATTTTAAAGGTGTTTAAGGGTGTTTTCAGGTCACGGGAATTAATTTGATTGGTTTGACAGAGATCGATGCAAATAAAGAGTCGGTCTGCAATGTTTTTATTATGCAGTCAGCATATGAATTTTTACTTTCGAAAGGCTCATACTACAGTAAACAGATAAACAAAATCAAAGCTTGTCAATAGTAATATCTTAATAATAGATGTTGCTGAAATTTCCGATGTTAGTTCTTCACTATCTTGTTAACATCATCTCGTATTACATACATGTGTTGTGAAAATTGATCGACTGATATGTTTATTAAGCTATAAAACGAAGTTTACGAAAGTCATTTTTAGCATACAAGCCATTAATTTTCACCGTTCATTACTATTAAGGTTCTTATTCTGAACGTTTAAATTGTTTTACAGTAGACAAAAGAATAGGTCAGGATTGTCTTTATAAGTGCATGAATACTTAAACAATCATTTATCCATGAATCACTGAGTTTTTAATATAAAGCTAGTCTTAGGGTATTTTTTGTCAATAACATTTATTTGTCATTTGTGATAATTCTTGTCCAATAATACACAGTGATAAAAAAGAAAGTGCTTTGCTAAATTTCCCAAAAAACCCAAATGAAACACAATTACTTGTAATGATGGTCAGAAGGTTTTGATTCTTGAATAAATTTCGATCTTGCTTTTTTCGAGATCCTATTCGGTTTATAATTTCTTTGATTATTGGTTACAAAGGATTTTCTTTTAAATCTCAATACTACTTTCCCGGTGCTAATACACTTCATTAGTTGATTGTGACTCGAAGTACGCTGTGCTTGTTAACTCACTTCACGTTCTCAGCTACACCAACGACCATCTTTCAGACTACAACTGATTCTGTTCTCATTTTTAAAACTTCTTTTCTCAATCAAACCCGACGTATATCCTTCAATGGTAATAGCAGAAATACTATACTTGTAATTACCCTTTTCAGAATAATAAATCTGTGGTGTTTGAACCCTCTTACTGTTAATTTTTTCGAAACATGGACATAACTATTCGATAAATCTATTTCATGTTTACTCTAATATTATTGCTTTACATAGTTATGATATTCAAACGTACTTTATAGTGAGCTCAATAAGATTAATAAAATCCGTAGTAGATCAAACAAATTCAATGTGGAAGATCAAGATAGTCATTGAAATGGTAGTGCAAATGAGAAAATACGACCTAGGTCTACCTTTAATAAGTGAAACAAGCCGAACAAAACACTAACTTCAGGAGTTTTTACTTTATTATGATTATGAAGAAGAGAATTCTCGTTGCATACAGAGTTACATTAATGCCATGCAAAGAAGCGCGAAAGGCGCTTATAGGATACGGACAAACTGATGATGGCAACGAAAATGCTAGAGATCAATTTTATGAGAGTGTCTTTAGCCTATTGTAGAAAAATCCTCAGGAAAACACATGACCAACTTAATGGGGAACCTGAATGCCAGGGTCGAAATGGACATCACGGAGCATGAAAGCATCATTGCTCAAGGTGAACTAGGAGAAATAGGAGCAAAAAAATCGAATAAATGAGCTGAATATACATGAGGAAACGGCTGTAAAAAGCACTAGAGGTAGGAAGCGAGAATATGTGGGAGACCTGGTAACTTCAGCAGAAAAATCTGTAAGAGAAGGAAGTATGAGAGAACTATTTAAAACGACTAGGAAGCTATCAAGAAAACGTAGTAGACCGGGGTGGTCGGTGAAGAACAGTTAAGGTAAAACGATCGCCGAGATTCGAAAGCGGCGAAAAAGGTGGGTAGAGCACTCTGAAGAGCTGTTGAATAGGCCAGCGCTAGTGAAACCACCGGACATCAAAAGAGCGCACAAAGACCTTCCTATAGATTCTGAAGTACAACACGACGAACGCCAACTAAGTCACATCTGATGGTGAAGCTATGAAAGAGGTGGATCCTTCACATATCTGGGCAACATCGTTGATAACCAAAAAATATCTGGTTCAGATGTAGAATGACAAATTGGCAGGACGAGGTCAACATCTCTATAATTAAATGATATCTAGAACTTAAAATAGCCTTCACGCAAGACCAAAGTCAGAATTTCCAACACAGACGTTAAAAGTGCGGAGATTAGGAAAAGACACTAGGATGGATAGTACACACCGAGGAAACCAATGAACTGTGTCACGAGGTAAGTCCTTGTAAAGTATGATCGATAAACGAACCCAGCAATGACAACAGGAAACGACTGCTACAACAATAACTTTCTTTGACCTTGTATGACTATGCTTTGCTTATTCACCAACCATAGTTTTATGTTTATATTGAACGATATTAAGTTCGTTGACTCATTTTTCTATCCTCTAGTTACTGTTCGGTATGTTATTCGTGTCTTTCTTTTTCCCTGTTTAATAGACTGTAATAATTGTTTATTCCGTGTGCTAACAGTGTTAATTTACGTTTTAGGAACAGTTTATTGAGCCAAATAGATAACTTGTTCTGACTTTGGCTAAGCTAATACTCTGTGCTCGACAGTCTAGAGAGTAGTTTGGAATTAAATCCTACAGTCCTAACTTGGAATCCTCCGAACAAAAGACAAGGAGGCAGACCAAAGAACACATGACATCGAGAATTTAAGACCAAAATCAAGACCATGAGTAGCACCGATAACAAGTAGAAAGGAGAACTCAGGACAGGTTTGGTCGGAGATCTCCGGTTGGAGTGTTCTTTAAACTGTAGCTGTATCTTTTGTTAGACGGAAATCAGCTATAATGTAATTCTACTTACTAGTAATCAGAGTGGCTACCTATAAAAACAGTTTCCTCTTCTGCTGTTCGGTATAATTCAGAGGTAAGAGCCGTATATTGACTTGATGATCTTTCGGATTCGTCATAAGAAACTTACTAGGAGTATAATCATTGCATTAAAATGGTCATAAAACAGGGTGCTAAACAAATAAATCTGCGTGTAAAAGCATCTTTTATGGCGGCAAGATAATGGTTGTAAAGCATGTGAAAATCGGGCTGAAAAGGCATTTAAACTTACAAGCTCTTTAAAAGAATTTGGCCATTCATCAACGTTTATTTTAGAAATGTTCTACACCGGTCAATAATTTGGAATCAGTCAACACTTCTTAGGTGTTTCAGAAATTCGACTGAAAGGTTTGTTCCAGACATATATTAAATCTTCGAGACATTGCTAATAGATGAATCTTGTTGTTTTGTTAATGGCTTTAAAAAACTGTCCAGACAAACTAACTCAAATCGTGAAACAAATATGACACTGGAAGATATAAAATCATATAGAATCCCAGTTAATAATGAAACAATTTTCTCAAAACATATTTTTATAATCTGCGTTAATATTGAAGATAACCAACTGGACATTAAACCACATTCTGATTTTCTTTGTGATAGGAAGCGGCTGAATTAGAGATCAATATTTCAGAACATTAGTCAGTGGAATAAGAGATTTCCTTTTTCTAGGTTTTGATTTTATTAATACGTGATCGGAATAACTATTGGACAAGTGTTATTGTTAAATCAATCGTCATCAAAGCATTCGTTGTAGTGCTAGACTTTTTGGAAGATGTGTATATAAGGAGTCAACCTCATT